CAGCTAACACCCCCCAGCACCACATTTGACATCCCAGGGAGCACAGCACCTAGCATCACACCTGATACCAGCCCTACCACTGCACCTGACATTGCATCTGACACCACACCTGTCAAGATGTTCGCCTTTGAAGGAGTCTGACCTGTCTGAACTTAGCAGGTGTGTTGAGCACTTACTATGTGCAAAGCACTGGACCAGCTTCCTTAGACGTTACAGAGAAGGGATGTGTTTGCAGCTTTGAAGAGCTCCCTCTAACTGGGGAGAAGAGGACTGGCGGCGGGCGGCAGGGAAAGCCCGTTGGGGCTGGGAGAAGTCTGGGAGGTGTATGGGGGAGCAGAGGAGCTAATGGCTTTTGAAAACAGACCTTCATGTACTACAGTTAAATGCTTTTAGTTATCTAAAATTAAATGTAAGAATTCTGGTTTCACTTCACCCAGAATGTTATACTTATTTGTACTTGAAATCTATCGTGTTTTGGTTTAAGTCATTTCAGCAACAAGTTGATGGCCTTAAACCCATTCATGGGAGGTGGGTGGCCGGCCTACACCTCCGTTGACGGCCAGGGCTGCTCGCCTCTATGGCACGGAGGCCGTGAAGCTCCACGTGCAGGGGGCATGTGGGACCACACAGGCGTCCTCTTCTTGAAGTTTTCTGTTCATTTGGGAAAGGGCCCACTGACCGGTCACTTCAGCCTCGTGGTCACCTGTCCCTACAGCGGGTCTGCAGACACTTGGTTCTGACAGCAGGGAGGCCGCTGCCGGGGAGAGAACCGGAACTGGCAGCAGGTAGACATACGGGTAAACAAAGCCTCAAGTTCAGATGTGTGCAAATGAGGGCTGCGATTATCAGAAGGGGAACCCTCTCCAGACAGTGGCAGAGCCACAGGTTGAAGATGACGCGGGTCAGTGTGTGGAGAGGGGATGAGCGCCCCAGGCAGCAGGAGTGGGGGAGGTGCAGGCTACTACCGAAAGAAGCCGGAAGCCAGTTCAGGTGTGGGGAGGGGAGGGGTGGAAGAGGCATCTTGGAGAAGATGCTGGAGGGAGAGAAGCTCGGCCTCTGAAGGGCGGTGAAACCTACAAGCCAAAAAAAATGACCTTCATTTTCACAGCCTTTTTTTTAAATCAACTTTTTTTTGAGGTCTGACTTACATGAAAATTTACCAGTTTTAAGCTGCGGTGCGAGGGTTTTGCAAAGTGTATGCCGCCAGGAACTTTCTGTCACCCACGTGTGCAAACTGATCGGATCTGGTGGAAGGGGGCTTGCTGTTTGTTGGGGTGGGCTCCTTGGGCGGGCCCTCATCTGAGTGCAGGTACCCACACCTGCCCAGAGCGTGCGGGGGAGGGCCTGCCGGAGCTGCAGGGAAGCGTGCGCAGCGGGGGTGAATTACGGGACCGGAGGAAGCTGCATTCCTGGCATATTCTTTCCCAGTGGTTCCCAGCTCTCTGCAATACTGGTAGGAACCAGTTTTTTCTGACCGCCTCCAGCTTGAGCAGAATTTCAGTCTGTGTCGCTGTCCTCAGCCAATTGAAAATCACCTGGAGTTTTATCCCAAGCACAAAAGAAGGTCAGAGAGAGGAGGCCCGATGACTGCGATTTCCCTCCCCGCCCCACCGCCACCCAGGGGCCTGGCCTGCGCCCTCGGGGTGTCAGCCCTGGAAATCCTTTGATTTCATTGTTTGCTGGCTTTGGCAAGGGTAAGCCAGCCTGAGAGACGCTGTTTATGTAAGGGTTGCTCTGTCTTACTTAACCTGATCAGTATCTCTGCCTGGTGACCACACTGTGTCAGTCCTGCCTGCCTGAACCTCTCCCCAGGAGGCTGTAGTTGGCATTCCAGGTGCTTGGAACATCAGTGTGGTAACTACTCCTACCTCTGTGGCTGCCACTACTGTTCTTGTTATTCAAAGCTGATTTTTCTAAAGAGAGGTGAACTTGTGGTTTTTGCTATGCCTTTTGGCTCTGGGTCTGTCAGCAGCTGGTGCCCATCAGGGTGAGGGGTCGGCGTGCAGTCAGGGGACCCTCTCCATCCAAGGTCTTGTCGTTGGGCGACTGCCGCTGCATTTCTACACATGTGTTCATGCGTTCTGTGGGGAAGAAGACAGTGTTTAAGGCTTGAAGAAAGTTGGGATCCTGTGTGCTGCTCTCCAGAGGCTACTTGGTTTCAGGGTCATGCCCTGTCCTTCAGCCCCCCTGCAGCCCCAGGGTATATGTCTAGAGCAGGACTTGGCGTGGACACACGTAAGGGTGGGGACGCCAGTGCTAGAGCCCGCTGGGGGCAAAGCAGAAACTAGATGAGGTTTTACAAGGCAGGAACGGTGTGCTGTTGGTTCTTGCCGTGCAGGGCTGGGCCGACTCCTGCCGCATCCCCTACCCTATCAGCGGGGCTCCTTTTAGTCCAGGCCCTCGGTTACTGGAGGTATGGGTGGGGGCCAGGGAGAGCCCTGGGCCAGAGCTGCTCCCAGAATGCGTGGAGCTTGCATGGCCTGCTGTACGAGCTCACAGAATCAGAAATGTTTGGGGGTGTCTAGCGTGTCTGCTCCTTAGGCCTTTGTAAGGAACCAGGTGGGTGCCGAGCTTGGGGCAGCCTTACCTTGCCCAAGGCTGCTGATCCTGAGGCATCCTCTCCTTTCTCTCCCAAGAGTAAGTCGGTTGCTTTCTCTGGTGGGCCTCCTGCTTTTACCCCTGTTAGAGGACTCAGAGGGAGAGAATGGTCTTGGGGTTCTAAGCCCTGGGTGTAGAATGCCCCTGGTTGTCAGGTCACGTGATGCAAGGTGCTCTGCAGTCGGTGTTATGGCCTTTGCCAAAAGAGAACCCCAGAGCTCCCTTCTACCATCACCTGACATGCTGAAAATTAACCAGAAAGGTAAAAACAGTAAAACCTTGAATAGTGAGATATGTTAAAACATTTAAAAATTGTTATTGAGATAGAATTCACATGTAAAAATTGTACAATTCTGGTTTTTAGTATATTCACCGTGTTGTACTATCATCTCCCTAATAGTTTGATTTTTTTTAATTAATCTTTTTGAATACGAAAGGACTATGTTCTTATGTAGAATGATATAAACATTCTGGAAAGCTCCCCTCAGAAACACTTTTAGTGAGAGGCCGGGCTGCCCTGTGTGATGCTCCAGGCCTGTGCGCATCCCAGGGGTTTGTGACTGGCGGCAGCATGCAGCCATCTCTCGGACCATCCAAGTCTGTACGTCTACATGTCATAAAGAGCCTGCCTGAAAAAGCCAGAAGACCTTCAGGCTTCAGGACCAGTCTCAAGGTTTCTGCCCAGACATAGATAGACCCATTCGATACCTGCCCAAGCTCCCAGATGAGCCCATCTGGACAACATCTTGGTAGCACTTAACTGGGAGGGTGAACAAAAATCTAGTGAAGTTTCTCCTCTCCAGATTTTTCAAGAAGTCTAACCAGAGTTTATTGACAGAAGAATCTTAGAAACTGGAAAATGCATGGCAGAGAAGAAAGACAATGTTTTCACGTTTCTAAACTCTCTGAGTTTTAATATATACTTTTTGGCAATGGAATTTTATTAAGTCTTAGTTTCTCTGACCTTTAAAATTTTATTTTAAGCTTCATGTCTTTATATGAGATAAACTATTATAGTTCAGAGTGTCTATGCAGATTATAAATTGAATCAGGGAATTCCCTGGCGCTCCAGTGGTTAGGACTCCGAACTTCCATTGCAGGGGGCACAGTTTCGATCCCTGGTCGGGAAACTAAGATCCCACAAGCCGCACAACATGGCCAAAAAAAAAAAGAAAAGAAAAAATTGAATCAAATACAAAATAGCCAAAAATAATAGGAAGAGGAGTTAGTTCACATTAGCACAAAGGAAGTTGAAACCAGTAGTAATACCAGTTACTACCAGTCATGCCAACTGCCTACCAGATTGTGTGCTAAATGCCTTTAGTCTTTACAAAAAAAAAACCTATGAAGAATATATAGATTTTTTTTGTCCTCATCTTACGGATGAAAAAACTGAGCACAGAAATTTAGGTTATTTGCCAAGATCTCAGAGCTCAGATTTAAGGTTCTGCCTCCGACTGCACACCCTGAGCCCTTAGTGACAAGACTATTTCTGTAGGGGTCAGTGGGGATGCTTCAGGCTTCACAGGCCCAAGCTCCGGGCTCTTACATAAAGGCCTTGATTCTCTTTGGGGTTTTTTTGTTTTTGTTTTTAATATTTATTATTTGGTTGTGCCGGGTCTTAGTTGCGGCAGGTGGGCTCCTTAGTTGCGGCTCGCCGGCTCCTCAGCCACAGCGCACGGGCTCCTTAGTTGCGGCCTGCAAACTCCTAGTTGTGGCATGCGTGTTGGGATCTAGTTCCCCGACCAGGGCTCGAACCTGGGCCCCCTGCGTTGGGGGCGCAGAGTCTTAGCCACTGTGCCACCAGGGAAGTCCCCCTGATTCTGTTTTATGTCCGGCGAGAAAGCACAAGCAAGCAGGCCTGGGCTTCAAAAGCTGTGCCACGCCTTTGTGGTCTGGAAAGAGGATCTAAATGCACTCAGTTCCCCTGAGGAGGCCCAGTTGGGGTTTGAGGACCTGGGGCAGCTGCAGCCCTACAGGCAGGAGGGCCACGAGCATTGGTCTTCCGGATGACTAGGCAGGGAACAGATGGGGCAGGAAGGCCTCTGTTCACCTGCCTTCTGGGCTGCCTGCCATGGAAGCAGTTGGCACCCGCAAGCCGAGCAGAGCTGCTCGGCCTTGGGCCTTGGGGCTTTTGATGGGAGGGCATCTGCGTCGTAGGGTTGGGGTGAGGAGGCGCATCTGAGGGAATGATGGAAGCAGGGGCCCAGCCTCTGAGAGAGCCACCCTCTGGGGGCAGAAGCAGGCTATCCAGAGTAGGAAGAAGTTGACCCAACCAGGCTACTGGTAGATGGGCATAATCAAGGCTTACCTGCCAAGAACAGTTCTCTTTTTGGCTAAAAATGAGTCCTAGGCCTTAGGGGAGCAACGGAGTGACATGTGTGTTCCTTCTTTGTCTTCAGTCATGGGACATTTTTTTCCGAAACACCAACGCCGGAGCACCCCCGGGCACTGCCTACCAGAGCCCGCTCCCCCTGAGCCTGGGCTCCCTGTCAGCTGTGGCCAGAGCACAGCCCCTGGTGGAGGTTCAGCCCAACGTGGACAAGCTGGTGGAGGATCACCTGGCAGTGCAGTCTCTCATCAGGGCCTACCAGGTAAGGTGGCTGCGGCCAGCCATCCGTGACAGAGTGCCCTGCTGACCCCATGAAGGTTGTCGCTTAACTTTCACCCCCACCAAACACTAGGCGCTCTCTCTCCCTGCTCTGTGCTGGAGGGAGGCAAAAATGACATATGACAAGAGAAAAGGAGCCCAGGCAGTCTCACCCTGTTTGAGCAGATCCTCTGCCACCTTTAGCACCTGCCCTTATTTCTTCCCATAGCTTGGCAAGAATGATTTGTGAGCAGGGAAACGCGGTCAGTGCCCGGGCGTCAGGGGAAGTGCTGATGCCCAGGAGGGAGCAGTGACCGGGAGGGGTGTGCTGCTCCCCTTCTCAGTTGCTGGGGCCCAAATGCAATAAGACAAAATGAACCTGTAGGGTTTGGGGACAGAACCAGAGCCCATGGAAGCAGGGAGAGGCAGGTGAGGGGCAGCTGAGCCTGCAGAGGGGCCACCTCTCCAGGAGCATTCCAGTCAGTGGTCAGCCCCGTTGGAGGAGGCTCATGCAGAGCCAAGGGCTTCCATGGCCTTTCTCAGAGCCCAGAAGCCCCTTCCAGGATATCCGCGTGGTGTGGAGAAGAGCCCAGAATTCAGACTTTACCACCTGGTCTATGAATAGTTCTCAGGAGGAAAGGAGGAGAAATCGGGCCCGGGGAGACTCTTCTGGGAGCTCCCAGGACATGGGCTCCCCTGCTGCCTCTTCTGGCATTGCTGCAATGTAGCAGGGGTGTCACACCACAGAGTTCTCTCTCGAATGTTCTCTTTCCTGGAAACGGCCATGTGGACCGTTCCCCTCCGCCCACAGGGCCAGCTGCCACAGGTGTCAGGACAGGTAGCACAGGGTGGGTCTGTCCTGTTGGAGCCTGGCAAGTCAGGCTCTCTCCCCAGGGCAAATGACGAGACGCACGCCATTCACAGTGGGCGTTTCTGTAGAAAGAGGCACAGTTGGTGTGTGCTGACCACTGCCTGACTTATTCAGCCTCAGTCATTTCTGTTGGTCTTTAAGTGACTTCTCAGCAGCTGCTCCCCTTCCCAAATTGTTAGCAAGAAACAGTGGATAAAGTATCCAAGACTTAAAGAAACAAAATTGGAAGGGACTTTACGTGTCTTTTTGCTTTTAAATGGTTCAGATCAGGCACTGAGGTCCCTGTTGCAGCTGTCTGCTGTTGTGCCCCCTGTGCCCTGACCCACGCAGCAGGGCCGCACCCACCCCTTCCTTAGGGACTTCGTGTTCTAAGCTGAGTGGTCTTCGCACTGGAGCTAAAGTCCCCAGCATATCCCATTTCTGTTTATCCAGGAAAACTGTGAAGGATCCCGAGAAGTGGGTCCTTTTAGACTGCCAGGTTTATCAAAACCTGAGGAGCTTATCCCCTTTTTATAAAAGTGCATTTATGCACAATAGTGCTTTAAAACAAACTATTGTAAGGCTTTTTACAAACTGACTTTGTTGTTTGGGTTCATTGTCACTCTCAGGGAAAGGTTTGACCAAGTGCAACTTTTACCCCTCGCCACAGCCCACAGGACCTGCTTAATGACTGCTTGTATTATTGCTTCCAGGTCAGGGGTCACCACATTGCAAAACTTGATCCTCTCGGAATTAGTTGTGTAAATTTTGATGATGCTCCAGTAACTGTTTCTTCAAACGTGGGTGAGAATTAATCTGTAAACACTAATTTTAATGTAATTTTACTTTTTTTTTTTTTTTTTACCCCTTCCCTCTTTTTTTTCTCCTGTCCTTTTGTGTGTGTCCTTCCCTCTCCATCGCTGGCCCATTTGTAGATACGAGGGCACCATGTAGCACAGCTGGACCCCCTGGGAATTTTGGATGCTGATCTGGACTCCTCCGTGCCCGCTGATATTATCTCATCCACAGACAAACTTGGTGAGGGTCTGAGAGCGGCCAGCGCTGCGCTGCGTGGCTCCTCTCTCTGTGTCCCAGCCTGTGGCAGCCAGGACGTCCACAGGCGGAAGGGAAAGACTCTTAAGTTTCCTTCGTTCTGATCACTTGACATTTATCAGTCATGTAGCCTTAGTGTGTTTTGGGCAAGTTATTTTTATCTCAGCTTTTCAGCCAGATCGTATGAGCTCAATTGTCTAAGTCTCAAAATTGGAAAGTAAAATTTGGGGGCAGAAAAGGTTTGTGGCACAGAGAAAAAGATGACCCACCCAGGCAGGCGGGTCAGAAGATATTCCAGAGACCAGCTCGTCTGGCTTCGGTTTCCAGATCTCAGGACAGTGCTGCCCCAGACGGGGCACTGCTCAGGACCGTTGTCACACACTGTCTGCTCTGAAGCACGGTGTGGCCTGCCTTTGACAGGGTGAATTCCAGAGCAGGTGGTGCAGTTTGGGTGTCTCGATTCTCAAATGCCGGTGATCATACTGAGGAAACTTTGGAAGGCGTCCCCGCGGGCGCTTGTAGTCCCGCTCACCGTACCCCCTCTGTCTTGAGCAGAGGGGCGTGGCTGGGCTCACACCTGCGGTTGCTTTCTCAAGTTAACCTGCTCTAAGTCACCGTGCTGCTAACCTGTGCTGCAGAAATGACGACGTGACTAATTTTTAAATGGCCAGGTTGTTTTCGAGAAACACTGTGCATGCTAATAAAACTGATGGTTACCTACCTGCCTAACGCTGCTCTTTGGGAGGGGACGAAATTTGCCTCCTGAATAACAGTCACTAACGCTTTGTGGTGCCCGAATGCCCTTAGAGGCGTGTCCGAGTTGTGACGTGGGAGGTCAGGCACTAGTCAGGTAAGGCTGGATTTCAAACAGTGTTGGCCCTGGGATTGACGTTAGAGGTTCGTCTCTGCTCCGTCTTCATTTCAGAAACACTCCTAGGTAATGCAGGGTTTCTTCTACTTTGTACCTGCACTTTAGCAGTTTTTGGAAGAAAGATTAGAGAAGCCCTCCTGAATATGATTAAATAGGGCCAGTTCAGATTGTCGGCAGGACGTGAGCTTAATCCTGCTACTTTATTGAGTGGTGACAACTGTGCACCCCAGAAGTGAGCTTCTCTTTGCAGTGTCCCCGAGGACACTTGGAGCTCCTTTCCTCTTCCTCGCCACTTAGTCCCCGCAGCACCCAGGCCCGACCCAACCTGTGCTCACCAGCGCTGAAGCCCCCTCAACACCGTGAGTCCGCACCAGGTCCAGGGCAGAGCACCCCCTCTACGTGAGAGGCCTGCGAGCCCCAGGGCACCAGCTGCCTGATGAGAGCTCAAGGCCCTGTGCCCTGGAGCTGTCTCTCCAGAAAAGGATGACTGCAGAGCCAGCCCGGCACAGGCCACAGAGGCTGGCGTTCCCATGCACAGTCAAGCATTTAAACAAGAAAGGCACAGGGGAGGTGGGGTCTCCTTCTCCCGTTCGAAACTGCATCTCCCCTGTTCCTTGTGCCATCCCTGGTTGCTAGTTTCTTGGTATCAAAACGGACCTTTTTTGGTGGTTCCCAGCTCATTAGTACCGCCTGGGGAGCCTGGAGCTCTTCTCTGTCCCACGCAAGACTGGTCAGGGTGGGATGGCGCCCGCCGCAGCCCACAGGCACAGGCGGGGCTTTCTTGGAAGCGCCCCCCAGGCCATCCCAGCCCAGGAGTCTGTGAAGGGTGGGATCCCCCAGGCCTGTTGATGCTGCCTGGCTCCTCAGTTCACAGCTCTCATCAGGGGCAGGGGCAGAGGCAGGACCTCTGTCCTTCCTCCTAGTTCTTTCTTGGCCATCTCGGCCTTGCCTTACATTCTACTCTGGAATAGTGCCCCGAGTGTGCCCCTGTGAGGTTCTGCGTCAGCATGGCGAGGGTTATAAGCCAGAGACAGACAGAGGTGGCCCAGAACTTCCTGAGCTCATTTGAGGAAGACTGGGCATCCTCCAGCGGGGAGCCCTTCAGAAACAGCAGGAGAAGTTGGGCAGCAGCCCCCTCCTGTGCAGGAGAAAAGGTCACTGCATCCCGAGAATTCAAAATAGTGTGACGTGAGGGTCATGATCAATGGGGTTAGTGTAGGAAAGTTAGTCTTAAATTATCTCACCCTTGATGTATGTAGGTCTTTATGAAAACAACTGGTCCAACGTGACCGCTCTGTTCAGGGACACTGGACAGTCCCTAGAGCACTTTCCTGCCCACCATCTTATCTGAACCTCAGGGCCTGGGTTCGAGCCAGCTCCCTATGTGGAAGCCCGGCTCTGCCAGGACTAGCTGTGTGCCTCTGTCTCTGTCTCCTCGTCTGTTAGGTTGTTTCAGAATTAAATAAACTCCTGAGAATAGTGCCTGGAGCTTACTAAGCTCCATGAAGGTGTGAGCCACTGTGATTGTTAATAATCTTTTGAGATAAGTAGCTGCTGGTCTCTCTGGTAAAGATATATATTTAGAAACCAAGAAATGGAGCAAATAACCCAGAGTGGGTACCACAGGAGTTGGTAGTAGCAAGGACTGGGCTGCACCCTGAGTGACGAGGAGACAGGGTAGCTCCGGGGCAGGGACCTGCCAAAGCGGGGGGTCGGCGTGGCCCACGTGTTGGTCTGGGGTAAGTGAGTGACTGCAGTGGCGTCCTGTGTTGCACAGAAGCCTTCCCCAAGCCTGCGTCCCGCTCGTAACACCTCTGAGCTGCCCTTCCTTTCTCCCGGTGGATGCGGCACGATTTCTCCATCCTCTTCTGGGGAAACCGAGGCCCAGGCGGTGATCACCCCTCAGGTATTTGAGCATTGTGCTGTTGCTGGAGCAGCACGAGGGCCAGAGGAACAGCTGCGAGCCTTGGGTGAAGTCAGGAAGCCGTTCCCAAGGGCAGCGCTAGCCAGTGCAGGTCTGCAGGGCGGGCAGGGCTGATGTCCCCTCAAATTTTTTTTAATAAGGTGGAAAATATGACAAGTTTCCACTGAGTTCTTGCCCTTTTCTGACCAATTCTGAGAAGGTTGGGAAACGCTGGCCTAGGTTCCCTATGCTAACATCCTAGAAATACTCATGGCCCCCGCAGTCACTGGTAGAGAGTGTTAACAGGTAGACAGCCGACTTGGCCGACATGCTCCAGCTGCTGGATGGTCCCAGCATGTCAGCGTCACCGTGAGACACGTACACACAGAACATACTGTGAATGCAACAGAAATATCATTGAGATGGTGGGGTTATCGATTATTTTGATTAAAATTTAACAATTAATGTTAGAACAATTTCTCAGGTGTGGATTATGGTCTAGAATTGTGCAGTGACTGCTTAGGAAAGGGGGGCCTTTTCCCAGGATGTATTATGTTAGGAGCCAGGTTCCAGGTGTCCCCCAGAAGCGCATCTTGATTTATGTCGCGTCGGGTGGAGGAGAGTTGAGCTCCAACCTGAGATGCCTGGGCACACATTCCACATTCCTCCCTCGGGAGAGGTGGGAAGTCTCCAGATGGGATCAGGTTTTCTAGCGAGGCCGCTCCTGGTTGGCCCTAAAGAAGGGTCAGCGTGCAGCTTTTGACAGCGAGTCCCTTGGGGTCGGGGTTGTTGCCACCTTAAGTAGAAACAAATCAACTCCACACAGCCTGTGCGCTCTTCCCCCTCCAGGCTGCAGTCCTGCGCTGGCATGCAGTCCTTGCTTCGCTGGGGTGAGGACGGGGCGTGGGGAAGTCTTGTTTCTGGCCTCAGCAGAGCTGCCCTTGGCTGGGTGGGGACATGGTGAAAGTTCTCATTAGCTCTTGCCCTCCATTTCCTCTCCTCTTCCAAGGGCAGCATTTGAGTTAGGTTCCAGCTTAAAAGTGCCATCGTCTGTGGTTTCTATATAAATTCTATAGTATAACTATTCACAGTGACAAAACGATTGAAATTTACTTAAATGTGAGATTTAAACATAATTAAAGGAGAACTCAAAACAAATTCTGTAAATAGAGAGGAAGGCGTGAAACTTATGTTTACCATTAGTGTTTGCAAATTGTCAGTCTTAGGAAATGAGCTTGAGTTAAATAGTTAAAAGGGCAATTCAAAAGTCCAAATTATGGCAACATTTTAGCTAGTTCATGTCCAGCACAGCAGGACATGAAGTCTCCCCACCCTTCTGACCTTCCAGAGCGTTCTTTCTGGTTGAGTTTTGACCCCTTGATGGCTGGGAAGAATGAGCTAAAAATAGAGTTGAATTTTAATCTGCTTTCATAATTTCAGAACAATAGAGAGCAGTTTACTTAGCATTTATTGGCTGCTGTGTGCAGTGAATGTGTGGTGCCACCAGACCACTGAGTGAAGAGTTGGGATCAGGTTCCCCAAGTGACTCAGGAGGGCAGGCTAAGCTAAGGTCATTGTGGGTACATCCCCCTGCAGGGGTGTCCTCCGTCCTGGATGCCCAGGAACTGGCAGACCAAGGCACATCCCTGCTTCTTGCCGGCTATGCTTCACTTAGGAACAACACGGCCAAATCTCAGCCGTTCTCTGTCTCTCCAGCAGAGCATCTTGTGCTCATCAAGAAGTAATTTTTAAAAATGTTTTAAAGTGCTCAGGTGCTGGGAATCCCTTGCGCTTTCTGTAAATGACAACCAGAATATCTCTTCTCTTTCCACTCTCCTTCGGTTTTTGTCTTTTCTTTGTGTTTTATTTTAAAAATATCCAAAAAGTGCAGATAAGAATAAAAGCATCCACGTATCCAGTACCCAGAGTGAACAAATGTAAACATTTTACCGTATTGCCTTTAGATTTTTTTTTAAATTTTATTTCATTAGTTTTTGGTTGCGTTGGATCTTTGTTGCTGCGTGCGGGCTACTCTTCGTTGCGGTGCGCGGGCTTCTCGTTGCGGTGGCTTCTCGTTGCAGAGCACAGGCTCTAGGCGCGTGGGCTTCAGTAGTTGTGGCACATGGGCTCATTAGTTGTGGCTCGCGGGCTCTAGAAAGCAGGCTCAGTATCGTGGCGCACGGGCTTTGTTGCTCCGTGGCATGTGGGATCTTCCCGGGCCAGGGCTCGAACCCGTGTCCCGTGCATTGGCAGGCAGATTCTTAACCACTGTGCCACCAGGGAAGTCCCTAGATTTTTTTTAACAGATGCACGTTTGCAGTTCCCTTTGAGGCCGGCGGCGGGTGGGGAGGTGGCAGGGGAGGTGGGGAGATAGTCCCACAGGCAACGCTTATGGCTCCTTGGCATGGTCGTATGTCTTGATTATGAGGATTGAAGGAAAAAAATGAAGAGTCTTCATCCTTGCCTTAAGCAAAGCATCCATGCTTTTGTGTAGGACCTGGACGTTCCATTATCTTGAGAGCCACTGGCTCTGAGGTCTTTGGTAGGTGCTGCCGTCCTCGAGGGCGAGGAGGAGAGCTTTACCCACTCAGAGCAGGCGTCTCCGTCCTCTCTGAGTCAGAGCTCTTGCCATCAGCGTCCAAGGATGCATTGGCTGGCCTTCCTCTCTACTCCCAGGGCAGGGAGCAGCCACAGTGCCAGTGACCATGTTCTGACCCCTCAGTCATCAGGCCCACCCTCCCAGGGAACCAGCGTCAGGAGGCATTTTGTGTGTCCAGATCAACATCTTGATTTTCACTAGCACCAGGCAAGCTTCCAGGTGTGGGGCAGGAGTGTGTGCAGCTGTGCACGTGTGTGGCTCTCAGCCTGTGTCCTCAGCAGCTGAGTTCCTCCATCCTGGTTCTGCCTTCTCGAGAGGGGAGACCAAGGACCTACCTTCTACTCTTTAGAATCCAGCAGGAGCTTGAGGTTTTGGGCCTAGTCTGCTGCCTGATGCTCCAGTTCTGAGGAATGGGACACAAAAATTAGGCTTTTTCATTTTCTTTTCCCCAGTTTTTTCATCCCAAAGCAGTCTGGACTGGGTGGATTTGGCTTCCCAGGAGAGCTCTGTGTCGGCCACTTGTTCAGGATGGGGAAGTGAGGAGGTCTCAGCTGCCACCACACGGTGGCTTCTCGGTCTCAGGGAGCAGCCTTTCCCTCCTTCAGATTCACCTTATTCCAGCTGTTCATGAACCGTTTCCATGTTTATCAAAGTAGCTCTCAGACCACATATCCCCCCTCCCTTGTTCTCCTTCAGTGTCTATGTCTGTGTGACAGTGTTTGTGCTACCTGTTCCTGCGGTAATGGTGTAGGGTTTTGGGTGTTTGGGGTTTTTTTAAACTAACTCACCTGTCTTTTTCCCTCTGCACTCACCCATGCTATCCCACTCTGCCTCTCAGACCTTGCAGTTTTCAAGGAACGACTTCGAATGCTAACAGTAGGAGGTATGAAAATAACGAGCCTTTCACTTTTCTGGAGCTGAGGACTTCATTTGAGCAGGATGTGCAGCTTTCCCCAGCATGCAATTTGGGGAAAGTTGACACAGCTCTGTCGAGTGTTTTGAAGTTTGTTAATTGTCTTGAGATATGTTTTTCCTGTCATATAGCTGTTATCCAACAGGTAGAGCTACTTACCATGTCATATTAGCTTCTGTCCATTTGTGTTCTGAAGAGCATTTTCACCTCCACGTGTGTCTCACCATCGCTTCGCTGGGCTTCCGTCTTTAGCGTAGGCTGTCTCTAGCTCCTGCTGTAGCCAGCGGGGACCTGAGGCCACACTACATTCTGCATGTTGGCACGTCGTTTCCTCCACATCCTGCACTATGCCCCTGACTGGACTCTGGATTCTTTCAGATTCTGCTTCCTGGGCATTTTTTCCCTTTTGATCTTCCCATGTTTGAAGGCCAACTGAAGTACTGATAAAACGTTACTTAATGAAGTAAGGAGTCCTTAATGACCCTTGGTTCTGGGCAGAGCACCTTTGAAGAATCCAGAGTGGGGTGCTGGGGGTCATCTGCCTGCTGTCACTCACCACAGTGGCCAGTCTTCCTTCCATGCCAGGTGTCACTCAGAAGTTCTCTTTTCCTCCATCTTATAATGTCTGTGAGACTCTAGTTTTGATTAAACTTTTCATTTTGAAATAATTGTATGCAGTTATGAAAAATAACAGAGACGTTCTCATATGCCTTTCAGCTAGTTCCCTCAGTGGTACCATCTTGTAAACCATAGTACATCACACCAGGATACCGACACTGACAGCAGTCAAGCCACAGAGGTCTACATCACTCCAGCGGTCATTCCTGCTGCCCCTCTGTAGCCACACTTACTCCCCTTCTACCCCACCCCCATGTTTGATGCCTGGCAACCACTGTTCTGTTCTCCATTTCTATAATTTTGTCATTTCAAGAATGTTTTACAAATCACAATATGTAACATTTTGGAATTGGCATTTTTCAGTCAGCATGCTTTTCTAACACTAATTTTTTCCTTCTTAATTGCTGAGTAGCATTCCTTGCCATAGATGTCCCAGAATTGTTTTAACCATTTACTCACTGAAGGACCTTTGTGTTGTTTCTTCTGTTCTTCGGCTAATAGGGTCTTTTACAGAGCAAAAGTTTTAAACTCTATAGTCCAGTGTATCAATTTTCCCTTTTATGGATCATGTTTTTGGTATCAAGTTTAAGAACTCTTTTCTTAGCTCTAGATCCTGAAGATTTTCTCCTGTATTTTTCTAAAGGTTTTATAGTTTTGCATTTAACATTTAACTCTGTGATCCATTTTGAGTTCATTTCTGTATAGGATATGAAGTTTAGATCAAGGTTTGTTTATTTTTGGCCTGTGGATGTCAATCACTCCAGCACCATTAACTGAAAAGTTTGTCTTTCTTCTCATTGAATTGCTTTTATACACTTTTATCAAAAATCAGTTGGACTTATTCAGTGGGTCTGTTTCTGGGTTCTCTATTCTTTCAATAGGTGTGTCCCTCCACCAGCACCACACTGTCTTGATTACTGTAGCTGCTGAACTTTATTTTCCTTTTCGAGAATTGCCTTGGCTGTTCTAGGGCCTGTCTCTTTCCATGTAAATTTTAGAGTAAGCTTGTCTACATTTACAAAAACTCTTGCTGACATTTTGGTAGGAATTGTGTTAAACCTATAGATGAATTTAAGGAGAATTGACATCTTTACTATATTGCCTTTCAATCCATGAACATAGTATGTCTCACTTATTTAGATCTTTGATTTCTTTCATCAGCTTTTTGTAGTTTTCAGCATACAAATTCTGTACATGTTTTGTTAGATTTACATGTCATTACTTCCTGTTTTTAAAAAAATTTAGTGTCCAATCTATTCATTACTAATATCTTGAAGTACAATTGATTGTTTTTATGTTGTGTCCTGTGACCTTGCTGAGCTCACTTATTCTAGGACTTTTTTTTTTTTAGTAGATTCTTTAGAATTTTGGGGGTAGACAATCATCTCACTTGAAAATAGGAACAATTATTTCTTCGTTTCCAATCTGTTTGCCTTTTATTTCCTTTTCTTGCCCAATTGCCCTGGTTGGACCTTCCAGTACCATGTTGACTAAGAGGCATAAGAATGAACATCCTTGCTTTGTTCCTGATCAATGGTGGATTACATCGATTGATTTTCAAGTATTGAACCCAACTTACATGTACTGCTGGAATAAACCTCAATTGGTCATGGTATATAATTCTTTGTGCATATTGCTGCATCTATATATATATGTATTTGCATCTGTATTCATAGGGAATATTGGTCTGTAATTTTTTTTTTCTGACTGTCTTTGTCTGCTCTTGGTATCAGGGTAATTCTAGCTTTGTAAAATAAGCTGAGAAGTTTTCTTCCTACTCTAATTCCTGAAAGAGACTGTGTAGAGTTGGTGTTAATTCTTCTTTAAACATCCAGTAGAATTTCCCAGCAAAACCATATGGGTTTGGATTTCTTTTTCAGAAGCTTTTTATTTATGAATTCGATTTCTTTAAAAGTTAGAGCTATTCAGATTATCTCTTTCATAGTGGGTGGGTAACAGCAGTTTGTGTTGTTCTAGGAATGGTTTGTTTACATCTGAGTTGTCAAGTGTATGTTGTTCATAGTATTCCCTTAGTATCTTTTTGATATCTGCAGGGTCTGTATTGATATCCCCTTTTATTCCTGATACTGGTAATTTGTGTCTTCTCTTTTTCTGTTAGTCCTGTTAGAAGTTTGTCAATGTTACTGATCTTTCCAAAGAACCGGCTGTTTCATTGATTTTTCTGTTTTGCTGTTTTCAATTTCATTGATTTCTGTTCTTATCTTTATTTCCTTACTTCTGCTTTCTTTGTATTGGTTTTTTTTTTCCTTCTTTTTCTAGGTTCTTGTGGTAAGATCTTATAGATTACTGATTAGAGCCTTTTCCTCTTCTCTAATGTTTGCATTTACTGCTATAAATTTCCCTGTCAGAACTGCTTTAGCTGTCCTACAAACTTTGACATACTGTATTTTCGTTTCCATTCAGTTCAGTGTATTTTCTGATACCCCTTAATATTTCTTCTTTGACTCATGGATTATTTAGAAGGTGTTGTTTAGTTTCCAAGAATTTGGAGATTTTCCTTTTATATTTCTCTTATTGATTTCTAGTTTGATTCCATTGTTGTTGGAGAATGTACTCCATATAATTTCAGTTCTGCTAAATTTTTTTGTTTTTGGCTTCGTTGAGCCTTAGTCACAGCACACGGGATCTTTTGTTACAGCATGTGGGCTTCTCCAGTTGCATCGCACTGGCTTCTCTCTAGTTGCGGCGCACAGGCTTAGTTGCCCCATGGCATGTGGGATCCTAGTTCCGTGACCAGGGATCGAACCCACATCCCCTGAATTGGAAGGCAGATGCTTAACCACTGGACCACCAGGGAAGTCCCTCAGTTCTGCTAAATTTGTTGAGGTGTTTTTATGGCCCACTATATTGTCTGAATTGGCATTTGTTCCATGGACATTTGGAAAGAATGCGTACTCTGCTGTTGTTTGGTGAAGTGTCCTATAAATGTCCATTAGATCCTGTCAGTTATAGAGTCTTTCTATATCTTTGGCAACTTTCTATCTACTTTTTTAGTCGATTATTGAGTGAAGGGCTTTGAAGCCTCCAGACGAACTGTGGGTTTGTCTATTTTTCTTTTCAGTACTCAGTTTTGGTGTGTTTTTTTTCACATATTTTGCATCTCTGTTGTTTGGTGCACACACATTTAGAATTGCTATGTCTTCTGGGTGGATTGATCTTTTTATCATACAATGTCCCTCTCTGTCTCTAGTAATTTTCTTTGCTCTAATATATACTTTATCTGATGATAATATAGCTACTCCTGCTTCTGTTGGACATGTTTTACATGACATATCTTCTTCCATCCTTTTACTTTCAGTCTGCCTAAATCACTGTATTTGAAGTCAAGCATATAGTTGAGTCCTGTTTTTTTAATCCACTCCGTCAATCTCTGTCATTTAAGTAGTATATTTAGACCATTTATATTTAATGTAACTATTGATATGTTAGGGCTTAAATCTACCATTTTATCCTTCATTTTGTTTGGCCCTATTCATTTCTCTGCTTTCTTTTTCCTGACTTCCTCTAGGTTTTTAAACCTATACTTTAAAATTCCATTTTTATTTATATATAGTCTTTTTGATCATCTCTCTTTGTGTTTTTAGTGGTTTTTAGCCTTTTTAGTGGCTGTTTAGGTGTTACATCACTACATAACTTATCACAATCTAATGATGTCATCATTTTACCAGTTCAGGTGAAGTGTACTTACCTCCCTTTACATCCCTTCCTTCTCTCCATGTAAAATATATAGTTATCTTAAACATTTCCTCTACATATGTTTAGAACTGCATCAGATAATATTACAAATTTTGCTTCAATCATCAAACATAATTTAGAAGACCCACGAGGAGAAGGAAAGTCTTTTATTTACCTGTATTTTTTAGTTCCATGTTCTTTCTTCCTTCCTCCTGTCTGATTCCTTCTGGTATCATTTCCTTTCTGTTTACAACTTCTTTTAGCCATTCATTTAGGATGACAGATTCTCTTAGTTCTCTTCATCTGAAAATGTTTTGATTTCTCCTTCATTCATATAGGATATTATCACTGTATATAGGATTCTGGGGAAACAGTTCTTTTCTTTCAGCTCTTGGTAAGTGTGGTGCTACTTCCTTCTGGTCTCCATGGCTTCTGTTGAGAAATCCTCTGTTATTTTGTCCTCTGTTGTTTTGTCCTCTGTTGAGAAATCCACTGTTATTTGAGTCGTTTTGCCCTCTAGGCAAAGTGTCACTATATTCTGGCTGCTTTCAAGATTTTTTGTCTTTAAATTCAGAAGTTTAATTGTAACATATTTTGACATGGATTTCTTTGGCTTTATTTTGTGAGTTCACTGAGTTTCTTGAGTCTGTGGAGTAAGTCTTTTGCCATATTTGGGAAGTTTTCAGCCTCCCGCTTTCTATTCTCCTTCTGGGATTCATCAACACAACTGTGAAATCTTTTGTTACAGCATCACATGTCCCTAGGACTTTCTTCCGTTTTTTTCCCCCCCAATCTGTTTTCTCTGTCTTCTTCAGGTTGGTTTATTTCTGTTGTTCTCCCTTTAAGTTCACTGATCCTCTGTCCTCTGATAATGCCATTGAGCCCGTTTACTAAGTTTTAATTGGGGTTATTATATTTTGCAGTTTCAAAATTTCCCATTTGGTGCTTCTTTGCATCTTAATTTTTTGCAGAGACTTTCTGTGTCTTTGCTGAGACTTAATTTTTTTTTTCATGTCTCATGTTTTAATTGCTCACTGAAATCATTTGATAATGGCTTCTTCAGAATCTTAGATAATTCTAACATCTGTGTCATTTTGGTGTTAGTGTCTATTGATTATCTTTTCTCGTTCAATCTGACATATTCCTGGTTCTTGTTATAAGTGATTTTTCTTTTTTTTTTTATAATATTGAAACCGGGACATTTTGGGTATTATGAGATGGGATCTTGTTGAAATCTTTGTTATAGCAAGGCTCCTCTGAACACTGCTCTGGTAGGGAGGGGCCCACCTAGTTACTCCCCGGTGGAGATGGACATTCTGGGCCCCAAAGTCTCTGTTGACATTAGGGTGGGGGAGTGGGCTAGTGCATTACCTCCCAGAGGGAATGAAAGTTTGGGCTTCTTCTTGGGCCTTCTTTGAAACCTTTGGGTGGGGTCAGAGGTCAGAGTGCACTGCAGCCTGAGAAGGGTGTTGATGGGACTGCAGTGTGTTCCGTATGTTTGGGTGGAACAGAGCAGTTACAGTCTAAAAGTTTTCTGTCCTGCGAGGCTGCCTTTCTCCTGGTCCTTTAAAGAGAGCAGCTTTTGTTGGGGCTTTTTCTGTGTACACCTGTAGAAGTTTCCACATTCTTTGCTCCAAGTCTGGGATATGGGAGCCCAAAAGGAAACCCAGGGACCTCCTTGGCTGGTTGGCTTTTTTCTCCACCCTTTGGCGTAATCTTGCATTTGTTTTATATATGATATCTGGGATTTTTAGTTGCACTTGGTGGGGGAATAGGTAGGCATATGTCTATACTACCTTCCCAGACATCTGTAGATTTAAGTTGTCAAATGACTGAAGAACTCAGAAGCAAGGCCAGCAGTTTTGAAGTTCAGTAGTAGAGCCCAAGAATGATCAGTTCACGGTGATGGAAATGAAGAATCACCCATGTGGTGAGGCCAAGGGCTCTTCATGCTGAAAGGTCACGACAAGCCCACGTTCTCCTCTGGGACACACAGGTCGTTGGTTAACTCCACGATCAAAATGTTCAAACTGTTCCCAACAGAGTGTGCACTCTTTGGATACCCTGGTTCCCTTAGCCCCCACTGCTGAGTGTTCCCATGAGCTAGGAAAAGTGTCCCCCAGATAACTCTGGTTTTCCTCCATAAACACTGAGAGCTGGGCTGTGAAGGGCCAGAGCCATGCTTTATCAGGCCCACGTGATGGCCCATCCTCATTCTTGATAGAATAACAGCAAGAAACGGGTGCATAGCTTAACCAAGCCACTCTACCATCACCACCACCACCCCAAGGTGAAAAAAAGCCAGGTTGCTTTTGTTTTAATAAAACAAAAAAAAAAAAAAGTTGAAAAACATTGAATTTGCTTTTAAAAATAAAAAAAAAAAAAAGTGTCCTAGAGCATTAGATAAATAAAAGCTGTGGTTCCCAAGCCAGCTTGATAGGATCATCCAGGGATGTTCATGGCCCATCCATGACCAATTGAGTCAAGTCCTGGCATTGGAGCCTGGGAGTGTGCATTTTTACAAATCTCCCAAATTCCCTAGAGATTTGGATACACAGCTGTGTTTGCAAGCGACTGCTTGGGTCCCTTACTGGGCCCTCTGTCTTACTTACACTTAATTAGGCCAGGAAATGGGAGACTGTCTTATCTTGCACAGTCAGGTGTTAGAGACTGTGGGTGCTCGTTTCACATTTCATCCTGGCGTCTGGGATTGTGAACTGCACCTTGCCTCACTCCAGCCAATATCTTGTGGGTGGGAGCCTAACCTATAGTGTCACTGGACAGTTTTCCTCCAAGCCTCTTCCCCTTTGATAATTATTGCAACATGAAACAAGCGCATAATGCCCTGGAAAGAGCCCCTCCACTCTATCACATGTTTGTCAGTTTGAAATATGCTTTCAGATGAGGAGCACCTTGCACGTGGTGCTCAGCAAATAGCAGTGATAAGTCAGTGATAGTCGGTTCCTTAGCAATTAGTCAGTAAATACGTGTCGGTATTGGACTGGGGAGAGCGATAATCAGATCTGTGACTTATGAGCGCTGTCTGGAGGATGGGTCTTTATGTGCAGTTGGAGGTCTTCCAGGAGATGGCGCCGTCCTTCATCAGAGGTGGCTGTGGAAGCCTCTGCCCTGCTGCCTGGCAGCTCTCCCGCAGGCCACTGGGCTTCTTGGTGACTGTCCCTCCCTTCTCAGTCTCCTAGCTTCCACTCACCACATACAAATGCCATCACCATTAAGACATACATGACCTAGTCTAGTCCAGTTCCTCATTTTCTACTTGAATTCTCTCCTTAACTGTTTTTCATTTGCTTTCTGATTGACTTACCCAGTGCCTTTTCAAACCTAAATCGCTTTGTGTCTGTGGGGCCTTGAAATACATTTTTCTCTAAATTATGAATAATTGGTGCACTGGACTAATATATGCATCATATGAATTTATTCTCCTTTACCTGTGATGCCAGTAATATACTCAGCTTCTGTTTGTTGCTAAAGTTTGTGTTTCTGGCTGTAATATAGTATTTATTTTCATACATAACAGAGGTTTTTATGATTTTGTTCTTCTTTTTTCTCTCCCCTGGGGAGTCCCTCCCCCTTTTCCTAAACTGTGGCCCCCGTATGGCTGTGCCCATCTCTCCTCACCCCCGTAGGGTTCTACGGCCTGGACGAATCTGACCTGGACAAGGTCTTCCACCTGCCCACCACCACGTTCATCGGTGGACAGGAGTCGGCCCTTCCGCTGCGGGAGATCATCCGGCGCCTGGAGGTAAGAAAACACAAGTCGTTTCCAGAAAACTCCAGTGGACTTGCTAAAAACTTGTGTTGGCAGGAGGCCTCCAGACTAGGTTGTTTTTCTCTTGATCCTATATATTTTTTTAATGTAAGGGAAGGGGAATTGTTTTGTTCTGTTTTTTGCTATTTTGTTGATGAAATTCCATGCTTTTTTTTTTTTACAATCAACCATAACAAAATGTAGACTCTGCTTCCGACTTTAAAAAATGTGTCCTGGGCTTCCCTGGTGGCGCAGTGGTTGTGAGTCCGCCTGCCGATGCAGGGGACACGGGTTCGTGCCCCGGTCCGGGAGGATCCCACATGCCGCAGAGCGGCTGGGCCCGTGAGCCATGGCCACTGGGCCTGCAAGTCCGGAGCCTGTGCTCCACAATGGGAGAGGCCACAACAGTGAGAGGCCCATGTACCAGAAAAAGAAAAAAATGTGTCCTAAAGCATTAGGTAAATAAAGGGTGTCATTCCCAAAACAACTTGAATAGGAACGCCTGGGGAGGTTCCTGGCCCACCTACGACCAACTGAGTCAGCTCTGGTTTTGGGACCTGGAAATGTGCATTTTTACAAATCTCCCAGAGATAGGGATACGCAGCTGTGTTTACAAGCGACTGCTCGAGCCCCAGGCTGTACTGATCCAGCATTTGAAAGGGGCAGAGAGCCATGCACGGCTTTCATTTCATCCAGTGCCAGAACCCAGGAGTTGGGCTGTTGTGGACACTTGGACCTGGACTCCAGGGGTCCCAGCCATAGCACCCCCTGTCCCCAGAGGGCCCCACATCCAGGGCTCTTCCAAGAGAGCCTACCATTCTGACTTGTCCCAGTTCGGAATACCCCTTCTCGTTGTTTACAGATATTTACGTACACTCACCCGATGATGGTGGGTTAGGTATGTTTACACGTGACATGTGCATGCACTGGGCGGCTGTGTGAGCTGACAGAGCTTAAGTATGTTCTTGGTCCCGTGACATAATAATCAACTTGCAGCTCTTTGAATATTTAGAGCGAGTGCAATTTCTTGGCTTCCTAACGTCTCACTAGAGAGAGAAGCTAAGAATCGGCACCTAAAACTCCCTGCCCTTTTCTCCTGGGGATTGAGCCAAGAACAGGAGAAACAAAATATGATCCAGGGGCCCAGTAACTATGTGTCCAAGTTAATAGCTAAATTCATGCTGATAATAATGGAGACATACTGTTTTTGACCTAATAATTTCCTTTGAGCCTTTAATTGTTCAGTAATGGACATACTGCCCATCAGGCATAAGGAGCACGGGCGTGTTCTCCTGCCTCCATGGGTAAAGGAGGGGGCCCCCTCCCCCTCCCCGCCTCTTCCCTCCCCACTTCCTCCCTCCCCCTCCTCTCCCCCTTTCCCTTCCTTCATTCTCTTCCCCTCCCCTCCCCTCTCCCCTTCCCCTCCCCTCTCTCCCCACCCCTTCCTCTCCTCTCTGCTAGACTTACAACTCAGACTTGGGTCCCAGGGAAGATGCACCCTTTTTTAAGCTGATGGAGGAAGGTTCAAGGTTCATGTTAACAGACGCTGTGGCTGGGCCATGTTTTCTCAAATGTGTTTGTGTAGAAATACACTTTCTTCTGCGGCTCAGTAGATCAGGGCACTGTCACTGTACAGCTCCGGTGGAAGTGGTGACTCGCGCTGGCTCTGAAGTCAGGGAAGGCAGGCCAGCACCCCCCATCCCTGGGCTACTTGTGCATCCAGTTTAAAAGTTCCCAGTTTATCACATGAGGTGTCCTCAGGGAAATATAGTTTTGGAGTTAATGAAAACACCTTAAACACCAAGGTCTTTCCCAGATCCATTTCCTCTTTTTGTCCCTAGGCAAGATTTTCCTCCTCTTGGCTAGGATGATAGCGAGAGCGCGTTGTGGTTGGCCATTATTTTGAGTTCAGGCAAATGTCCCTTTGTTTCATTATCATAGAATTAACATGCAGAGGTGCCCACCCCTGCTCTGGTGTCACATCTAGACCCACCACTGGGATCCCAGGTGCATCCTCACCCTGCACTGTGCCAGCCAGTTTCCATGTCTGTTGTGAAAACCAAAGGGGGTCACAGACAGAACCACCAAGCAGAACCTGGCCCTCTAAGTGCTTGGTCAGCATGGCTGCTGCGAAGACGTTGAAAGGCATTTGTGGGCTCTAAAACTTATTGTCGGGAGTTCCCTGGTGGCCTAGTGGTTAGGATTCAGCGGTATCACTACCATGGCCCGGGTTTGATCCCTGGTCAGGGAACTGAGATCCCACAAGATGTGCAGCGTGGCCAATATATATACATATCAATTAATTTTAAAAAATTATTGGCACACCAGGGCATTGCTTTTTAAATTCCTAAAAGCAGTGGTTAAGAATCCTCCTGCCAATGCAGGGGACATGGGTTTGAGCTCTGGTCCGGGAAGATCCCACATGCCGTGGAGCAGCTAAGCCCGTGCACCACAACTACTGAGCCTGCGCTCTAGAGCCCATGAGCCACAACTACTGAGCCCGCGTGCCGCAACTACTGAAGCCTGCGTGCCGCAACTACTGAAGCCCGCGTGCCTAGAGCCTGTGCTCCGCAACAAGAGAAGCCACCACCACGAGAAGCCCGCGCACCGCAACGAAGAGTAGCCCCAGCTCGCCGCAACTAGAGAAAGCCCACACGCAGCAACGAAGACCCAACGCAGCCATAAATAAATAAATTTTAAAAATAAATAAATAAAAGCCTGCTAACTTAAGTGGCCACTGAGCTGTGATATCCACCGGCAGCACAGGGCCTTTCTTTCTCAGGGTGGTGGGCACAGTCTGACCTTGAGGTCAGAGAACCTGTCTTCCCCAGGAGCTTCCCCGTCCCTGGGCTGGTGCTTCTGTCCTCCCGCCATGAGGGGAGCATGTCTCGGCTTAGTGGTTCTCACTGTCCCCTCCCTGCCTATTGGGCTCTGTACTCTGTGGAGGAAGTATTTCATGGCCAGGTTCAGAGTGAGAGGAGGTTGTGGGCCCAAGCTTGGTGCCCCAGGCCACAGCTGGCTCTGTTGCATTTGAAAGGGAGGCCACCTGTTCTGCCAGCCTTCTGGCTGAGTGGGCAGTCAACACACCTGGGGGGACATCCCCTTGATCGTGTGTGTGTGCGTGAAAAACAGATGGCGTACTGCCAGCACATTGGGGTGGAGTTCATGTTCATCAATGACCTGGAGCAGTGCCAGTGGATCCGGCAGAAATTCGAGACGCCTGGGATCATGCAGTTCACCAATGAGGAGAAGCGGACCCTGCTGGCCCGGCTAGTGCGCTCCACCAGGTACGGGGCTGCACTGGTCCCGTCAGTGTGGCACAGCCTGTTGACAGGGGTGGGTGGGTTTGGAGCGTGGCCACAGCCCCACGAGAGCAAGGTTGGCCCTGGTGCCTTGGCTTTTCAGAGTGGCTTGGTTCCTGTCCAGGTTTGAGGAGTTCCTGCAGCGGAAGTGGTCATCTGAGAAGCGCTTTGGTCTCGAAGGCTGCGAGGTGCTGATTCCTGCCCTCAAGACCATCATTGACAAGTCAAGTGAGAACGGAGTGGACTACGTGATCATGGGGATGCCGCACAGGTACCTGGCTGCCCTTCATGCATCCAGAGCACGGGGTGGGGCACTAGGCAAGCAAGGAGGCTGGCTCGCCTGGAACGCACTTGCACCCCTGTCCTGGGACAGCCATCGCCACAGCATCCCCCTCCCTCAGTAGCCACTGTCACACTCAAGGCCACAGTGGTTTTAGGCAGGCATCTTGGCCTCATGCCCTTGTCGGGATCACCACTGAGGGAGGTTAACCTAGAGGGAAGGCTGCTCGGTGACATGGAGCGGAGACCTCAGCTTGAGGCGGCAGCGGAGGCTGAGGGTGGAGCGTTCGCCACAGGCCGGCAGTGTTTCTCCGTTTTCTACCTTTCTTCCTCCCACCTCGTCGTGGCCCTGGGTGCCGGGCAAGCAGAGGCTGAGTGTCCCACATCAGCTCTGCTCTCAGCTCCTCTCGGGCTGCAAACCGAGGCACTGCCTGTCCATCGGGGGAGGAAGGGGCTAGAACAGCATTGCCTGCTGCCCGGAACACAGCTCAGGCCCTGCTCGCCCCTCTGTGCACCAGAGGGCGGCTGAACGTGCTTGCAAACGTCATCAGGAAGGAGCTGGAGCAGATTTTCTGTCAGTTCGACTCAAAGCTGGAGGCAGCTGATGAGGTGAGACACCCGACTTCCTTTAGAAACTAGCAGAGCTCCGACCCACACCAGACCCTGGTTCCGCTTGTTTCTCCGGAAGCACCTGGGCCTGGGATCCTCCATACCACTCGCAAAGGAGGTGGCCGGTGGCCGACCTCCCGGAGAAAAGAGAGATCAGAGGCTTGGCAGCCCCCGCAGTCCTCCCCGCTGGGGTTTGGGACGTGCGCCTCTGGTTGAGGGACCTTCTCCCTGTGCCCTAGGTAGAGCCATTCTGGGGAAAGGCTTTCCATCCTTCCAGGAATGGGGGTTCTGGGAGGAGAAATAACACAGGACAGGGCTGTCGTGAAGAGTAAGCATCTCCATGCCCAGGATAAAGGCTGACTGTTTGTACCTTCAGGGTTCTGGAGACGTGAAGTACCACCTGGGCATGTATCACCGGCGGATCAACCGTGTGACCGACAGGAACATCACCCTGTCGCTGGTGGCGAACCCTTCCCACCTGGAGGCTGCCGATCCCGTGGTGATGGGCAAGACTAAAGCTGAGCAGTTTTACTGCGGGGACACCGAGGGAAAGAAGGTAAGGCCACGGGGGCTGGCCAGGGGCAGCCCTGAGGCCAGATGGTCCAGGACCGGCTCACAGCCTCAGGCACGTCCCAGACCTCATGTTTCTGGAATTTAACAAAATATTCTGAATGGATCTTGAAAGAGTAGCCATAGTATTAATAAATTAATCCGTTACAGATAATGTTTCCTTCCAAGTTGTGACCACCAGAGCTAGGTGGGGAGTAGATTGCTTTCATTGTCACCACACCTGTGGAGAAGCTAGTTTTGTACAGTATCATGGCGGACAAAGAGGCTTTGTCACTGAACAGGAGGAGAGAGTCTTAAGGAAAAGATGTGGGTGAGCCTAAAGGAGGAACTGTAAAACTGACAGATGGGGGGCTTCCCTGGTGGCGCGGTGGTTGAGAGTCCGCTTGCCGATGCAGGGGACGCGGGTTCGTGCCCCGGTCTGGGAAGATCGCACATGCCGCGGAGCGGCTGGGCCCGTGAGCCATAGCCGCTGAGCCTGCGCGTCCAGAGCCTGTGCTCCGCAACGGGAGAGGCCACAGCAGTGAGAGGCCCGCGTACCACAAAAAAAACAAATACTGACAGATGGGAGGAGAGGTGTTCGAGTTTGTAGCAGGGTGGCACCGTTTAGAGTTGGAGAACAGCTCGAGTTCCGGGCGGCCCTGGTACCGGCATTTTCCAGGTGTGTGACGCTGAATGTTTAATGTTGGTTGGACAGCCTACTTACGTATAGAAATCCTCAGTGGATTTTAACTGTTTGTCCTTGTTTAACCTCAAAGTAGAAGTTTGTCTGTAACAAATTGTACAGTTCTTATTACTTAATGATAACCTCAAAGCCAAGCAATAAGAAAAATCAAGTTTTTGTAATGTCTGCATGTGCATTCTGGGGTATGTTCAAAGTCAGCATCACCACCCTACTCTCAAGCATCTCTTGCTCTTCCTAGAAATAGGGTCATATGTGAGGAAGCTAACAGAACATACACAATGTGATGTAAAGCTGCAGGTTCACTGGTAAAGAACTTCAGAAGAGGTATATGGGTGTGGAAGGAAGTGGAATGAAAGGCAGTCAAATCCTCTCATCGATAGAGCAGGTAGTTGTCATATTTAATTAAAGAAACAGCAGGATTTAGGTAGACGGGAAGAAAAGGACATTCTCTGGAGATGAAAGAAGGACAAGGATGGAGGTGGGGTTGTGCTGTGGGCAGAGCAGGGAGGAGCTGGGCAGGGCAGCCTGGCCCAGGGATGCCCTGGAGAGGGGTCAGACTTTTTAGAGGTGGAACCAAGCATTAGTCTACTAGGTTCTATAATTTAAAACACTGTGAGTCTACTCGTGCTGTGTTTGGACGGTTAGAGGGTAACGGGATCCCGACCAGAGGTGGCATTGGGAACAGGAAGTGGTTCCTGCACCACAAAGAGTGTGGCCCATGGGGAGGGTGTCGGGACATGAGAGTTACTTTGCTGAGCTTGGGGGCCTGGATGGTGCCTCAGAAACTCCAAGAGGGTAGAAAGTGGCTTCCTGTGCAGCCCCCGAGACCACCAGTGACACAGTGGCCAGGGACGGATAGGGAGGAAACCAGCATCAGTGACCAGTGCCTCCAGCATTTCTGCTGTCTGTGGCTGGGACCCTTGCCCAGGCATTTGGGGCCAGGGAAGGGAACAGGAGTGCAGAAAACTTTGTGACATCTACGTTTATAAATTACAGACGAAAAGCCACTCCAACATCGCTTGCTTAGAATGCTGGAGACATCCTGAAAAGGAATGAAAGAACTAGGGAGAAGTGGTGGAGGGTGTCTAACATGCTTCAGATGATCACAGCAGTCCATCCTGTGAGGCCAGGAGAGGCTGATTAGCCCTGTGTGGTCACCAGGCACTTGTCTGAGGGAGTGCCCTGTCCATGGGAGTGCCCTGCCTGGCGTGGATGGCCCATCCCTCCAGGGCCCTGCCCCCGCCCCTCTATCTGAGCCCACCCTTGCCCGTGCTCAGCGGGTGGGTCCAGACCCCACCAGTCCTTCACACCTGCTCTCCTGGCTACTCTTCCCAAACCCTTAGGCAATTATCTGATTTCTGTTAAACCCAGAATCCAGGGAGCTGGAGTGTTTGTTACATAACCTTCAGTGTTTCAGAAAAAAACTATGTAATTTCTATAAATGTGGCCAAGGTTCTATAACCTGGTGCAAGACTGAGCCTGACCCAGCTTGGCTCAGGGCTGATGTGGCCCTTGGGGCATTCATGTGGGAAAGCAGCTCCCTAGCGCCGCGGGTGGCCTGCCACGGACGGAGGCCCACTCCTACCTGGGTCCAGATCGGGCCGCCAGGGTGTGTGATTTTAGCAAGCAGCGCTGTGCTGAGGAACACAAGGGACCGAGTGCAGCCTAGCAAGGGGCACAATACAGCTTCTCCAGAAGATCAAGAGAAACAGCGTGAGGAGAGGGGAGGCTGACCCTGAGGTGCCCGATGGCAGAAGGCCGAGGTTGTACAGAGAAGGCTCTGCAGAGAAACGCGCGTCCTGGCGAGCAGGAAGAGGCACCATGTCCCCCAGTCGTTTGGGCCCTGGCAAGGCTGCAATCCTCTGAGGAGGTCCCTGCGCAGACCCGACACTTGTGTCCACTTCCACCTGTCCCAGACAGTGTCCCTGTGTCCCTCAGGGCAGGACACATGGGGTTCTGCTAAAAAAAAAATCTAGATTTTTGTCCCCGAAGAGCACGTGGACCTTCCCTTCCTGGCGCTGCGGGCCAGGGAGGTGACAGGAGTTGAGTAAACACAGCAAGAGGGCGTCAAGGAGCAGGGGTGGCAGGGCCGTGGGGCTGTACCAAGCAAACAGGTCATGTGTTGAGGACAGTGGGAACAGTGTCTCACGGTGTAGGGGGTGTTTATAAGTGCAGAAGGAGGAAGGCCCAGAAATAGGATTGGAATTGGAGGCGTCATAGTTGTACAGTGTACAGATTTAGAAATCGCTGTGTATGTGAGCCTGTGCATCTGGTTTTTGGCTCTGTGCTGAAAGAGCCTAGAAGTGTGATGCTCTAGTGGTGATGAGCACACAAATACTAGTCTTCAGTGCCGTCCTCCACTGAAGGGACCAGGCTCCTTAGAGAAGTGTCTGATTCCAGGGCTGGGCAGGAACAGTGCAGCAGGGGGCTGAGATCTCTGTTGTGCCAGAAAGCACGGAGGCCCCCACGAGCCATGGGGCCTGTCCAGATGGCACGGGACCCCCACGCCGAGTATGGGGCAGCGCTGAGCGTCCAAATAACTACAGATACTAGTCAGTTACAGCCAGTTGAATAAAACAGGAATCCGGGAGCACATATTAATACAGATAAATAAAAGTCGAGAAGAGAAAGCTTTTATGGAATGCCAGCGCGTGAAGGTAGGAGTGACACCTGGCAGCATCCCAGGGGTGCCGCTCAGGCTGCTGGGTGGGTGGAGGTGTGGTAAGGAGCAAGATCTAGAAGTTTTCCTCACTGTTCTCGTTACCGAGGAGAAATGGCGAGTTTAAAGGGAGAAACACAGACTTCCTGGCGGTCCAGTGGTTAAGACTCTGCACTTCCACTGCAGGGGGTGCAGGTTCGATCCCTGGTTGAGGAACTAGGATCCCACATGCCGTGCAGCATGACCAAAAAAAAAAAAAGGAGAAACAGACAGACAGCTACCTGTCCATGTGATCCAAGTCAACTTCATCCACGTGGGGTAGGCCAGCTCTGGCGTCCTCTGGTACGGAATGCACCGTTCCTGAGTCTGGTCACACAGGACCATCGGAGCCCAAGGCCTGGCCCTAAGAGTGCGTCCCCGTGGGGTCTGGGCCAGCACTGCCTTCCTGACGAGAGGGCCCTGCGTGGTGGGTTCAGGGGTGGTGGCATTGGCTCTGCAGCAGTTGATGGCAGGGTGGCAGGTGCGCGGACATGGAGGGCACCCTCGTGGAGCACGTTCTCAGGGGGAACGGGGTGCGGGGGGGCCTGGGGGTCTTTGTGCCTTCCTGCCGTTTCCTTTCTAAGTTCGAAATTATCTCAAAATACATCATTTTTTGAAAAGTGGATTGTGACTGAATCTCCAGTGTGCCTTGTGGACGTGGTGGTCGGGACCATGTCACATTTGGGGTCTCCTTTGCATGTCTGCAGGTCATGTCCATCCTTCTGCACGGGGACGCTGCATTTGCCGGCCAGGGCATCGTGTACGAGACCTTCCACCTGAGTGACCTGCCGTCCTACACGACTCACGGCACTGTCCACGTGGTCGTCAACAACCAGGTAACCTGGGCTCCAGGCGGGCTCTGGGGTCTTTGCAGCAGAGAAGGCTGTGGAGGCCACAGCATCAATTAGACTTTCTCCTGAGGCTTCTACGCTCACATCAGCCTTACTTAGAATGACATGGTTTCATCATTTAATACATTTGTTGTTTTCTGATTAATAAACTTGGACAAACAGGAAACTTTCTTTAAAGTGGAGAGATTTTAATTACAGTGTTTAAGATCATGGTGTTATTTCAGAATATTTTCTTCCATATCCACAAGCACATAGATGGCTTTCCTCTTTTAAGAAACTGGGTTCTGTACACACAGTTTTATATCCACTTCTTATTTACCACAGTGTTTTCTCATGGCATTATATATTCTTAAAATATTAATTTTAATGGAAATAATTCATTATAGGTTGTTTCATAAAATAGATATTGAAAAGGTGCCAAGGAAAGAGAAAGGTCTAAAAACAACCTGTCTCTGAACTGTGTTTTAAACAGATGACCAAACACAGAGAGTCTTTACTGCTTTTTGGGTAGGGGCTGAGATGCTAACAGGAATGGTCTTCAATCTGGAAGAGTACAGCAAAGATCATTCACAGGGATTGGAAGCCCAAGACACAGGGGGATTTTTTTTTTTTTAAAGAAAAAAGTTTTTCCATGAGTAGTCTCCAGAGTCAGGTGAATTCCATCCCAGGAGTTTTTTGCTTGGTTGATTGCTTGGTTTTTTTTGGTGCAGTTTTTTTTTTGGTTTTTTTGATTATTTATTCTTTTTTTAAAATTAACTTATTTGTTTATTTTTGGCTGCGTTGTGTCTTCATTGCTGCGCGTGGGCTTTCTCTAGTTGGGGCTGCTCTTCATTGTGGTGCGCGGGCTTCTCATTGCGGTGGCTGCTCTTGTTGTGGAGCACGGGCTTTAGGCACATGGGTTTCAGTAGTTGTGGCATGTGGGCTCAGTAGTTGTGGTGCGCGGGCTCTAGAGCGCAGGCTCAGTAGTTGTGGCACACGGGCTTAGTTGCTCCGCGGCATGTGGCATCATCCCAGACCAGGGCTCGAACCTGTGGTCCTTGCATTGGCAGGCGGATTCTTAACCACTGCGCCACCAGGAAAGTCCCTCTCCATTTGTTTAGATTGGGTAATTTCTGTTCCATCTTTAAGTTCTCTGAGTCTTTCCTTTCTCCCTTCCATTCTGCCATAGAGCACCTCCATTCAGGTTTGGGGTTTTTTTCCCTGATTTCCACCCCCCCCGGGGGGGTTTGTTTGTTTGTTTGTTTTTTCAACTCTAAAGTTTCCACTTGGTTCTTCTTGTATCTTCTGTTTCTTTGCTGAGTTTCTATTTTTTCATGTATTTCAGGAATGTTCGTAATTTTTATTGAGGTATTTTTATGAAGTTTGCTTTGAATTTTATGAATTGTAATTTTATGAAGTCTTTGTGAGGTAATTCTAAAATCTGTGTCATCTCAGTGTTGGCTTCTAATGATTGCTTTTTCTCATTCAAGCTAAGATTTTTCTGGTTGTTGGTATAACAAGTGATTTCTTATGAAACCAGACATTTTGAGGATATGTTATGAAACTCAGAATCTTATTTAAATCTCCTGTTATAGGAGGTGTCCTCTGGACATTTCGGGTCGGGGTTGGGGGACACTTGTTACTGCCAGGTGGGGTAGGGGTCCAGGTTCCCCACCCCAGGTCTGTTGATACCCAGGGAAGGGAGGGGACGGAGGGTGGGACAAGGGTGCTTTGTTACTGCTTCCCAAGTAGCCTCCACTAACACCAGGGATGGAGTGGTTGCCTAATTACCAGCAGCCTAGGGGGGCTGCTGGGGACACCGGGCCTTTGCTGGGGCAAGTGGGGGTGGCCACGGTGTTTTCTGTGGGGTTGGCTGCAGCAGGGTGATGATTGTCTAAAAATCTTCTGTACTGCTAGGCGGCCTGTTCCTGGTCTTCTGGCCAGAGAGAGCCACTTTCCTCGAAACGTCTTTTTGCTATGCCTGTTGGCGTTTCTGAGTTGCCTGCTTCCCTAGCCCTAAATCTGGGCTATATGAGGCAAAAAGATAGCCCTGGGAATGATCACAAGTCATTCCTCGGGACCGGAGGTCCCCGGCTGATCTGCTTGCTTCTGTCTACCTTCAGTGTTTGTTTTATATATATAATGCCTTGGGTTTTTAATTGTACTTATTAGCAGGAGAAGGAGGGAAAGGTACATCTCCTCCATCTTCCAGAAGTGGAAGTCCCTATGAGCACTTTTTTCTAAGTGTAAATTCCATTTCTTTAGTAAATACAAGACTATTCAGGTTATCTGTTTCTTCTTGAGTGAGCTCTGGTTACTTCTGTCTTTCATGGAATTTTTTCATTTCATTTAAGTTGTAAAATTTATGAGCATAAAGTTTCCAGTGTTCTCTTATTAGGGTCTGTTGTTTTATCCCTTCTTTCATTCCTAATATTGGTAATTTGTGTGTTTTCTCTTTTTCTCGGTTATATAGATTTGTTGTTGGTTTCAAAGGAACAGCTTTGGTTTCATTGCATTTTCTCTGTTGTTTTCCTGTTTTCTATTTCATTGGTTTCTGCTCTTTGTAATTTCTTTCCTTCTACTTGCTTTGGGTTTAATTTAGTCTTCTCTTTCTAGTTTCTTATTTCTTATTCATTGACTTGAAACCTTCCGTCTTGGCAATATAAACATTTAACAGTATTTCAATTTAAGAATCACGTTACATGGGCTTCCCTGGTGGCGCAGTGGTTGAGAGTCCGCCTGCCGATGCAGGGGACACGGGTTCGTGCCCCGGTCCGGAAAGATCCCACATGCCGGGGAGCGGCTGGGCCCGTGAGCCATGGCCACTGAGCCTGCGTGTCTGGAGCCTGTACTCTGCAACGGGAGAGGCCACAACAGTGAGAGGCCGACATACCACAAAAAAAAAAAAAAAAAAGAATCACATTACACAAATACAGTACAGGTAAGCCTTTGGTTTGTCAAACTTCTTATGACAGAAGGTCAAGCATTTTGGTTGAACTTAAGTGAGACTGTGTCCAGAGGAGAGAGTCTTAGGATGGCATAGTGTCTGGAAAATTACCCTAAAAGGAAGCCGTGACCATGTAGCCCAGAAGATGGAAGACTCCTAGAAGCATAAGAGCTGTTTTCAAACAAATGAATGCTTCACAAAGCAAGGAATATAATGGGCAGAGTCAGCACCAATGCATAGCAATTGCCAGGAAGCAGCAGATTTCAGCTGAATGAAAAGAACTTCCAACAATCAGGCCTGTTCCTTTTTTTTTTTTTTTTTTGCGGTACGCAGGCCTCTCACTGCTGTGACCTCTCCCGTTACAGAGCACAGGCTCCAGACACGCAGGCTCAGCAGCCATGGCTCATGGGCCCAGCCATCTGCGTCATGTGGGATCTTCCCAGACCGGGGCACGAACCCATGTCCCATGTCCCCCTGCATCGGCAGGCAAACTCTCAACCACTGCGCTGCCAGGGAAGCCCCCTGTTCCTTTTTTTTTTTTTTGCACCGGATAAAATTTAATAGGGTGGGGAAGACACTGAAAACGGGACAGGGAAGAAGGTGCAGAGTCCGGGTTGGGTGAGGGCCTTAGTTAGCCAAATCTGGGGCCTTCAGGCCCACCCAGCTGCATTGGCAGGTTGACGCGGTAGCCCTGAAAGCTGCAGAGCGCCCAGCACATGTGGGAGCAGGGGTAGTGGCGTGGATGGGGACAGCCAGGGACAGAGCTGCAGGGTTGAAGGAAACAGGGCTCCAACCAGGATAGACCATTTGCCTCTCGCGTCCCCTCTGGCTCTCAAACCCAGCAGTTCCACTTTGTGGGGTTTTCCTACTACTACACTCTCTCCCAAATGTCTTCTTTAAAGATATCACTTGGGGAATTCCCAGGCTGTCCAGTGGTTAGGACTCGGTGCTTTCACTGCCAGGGCCAGGGTTTGATCCCTGGTCAGGGAACTAAGATCCTGCAAGACACACAGTGTGGCCCAAAATATATATATATATATATATATTATATGTACATAATATATATGTCACTGCTGCACAGTTAATACCTTAATAAAACTGGAAGAAAAAATAAATGTACAAAACTGAAATAAGTAAATAATATGGAGGGGCATTGTGGGGAAGCTATGACTGCTGCAGCAAGACTAGAAACCAGAATTTCTACCACTACATCAGTAGGGAGCTGGTTAAGTAGTTTATGATGTATCCATCCGTGTGTTACAAGGCTTAAATGAATTAATACATATAAATTAATATACATAAAGTGCTCAGAATAGTGCCTGGCCCATAAATAAGCACTAATGTAAGTTAACTGCAACTGCAGTGTAATAAAACCATTTGAGAGAGTAGGATCTATATATACTGTTGAAATGAACTATAAGGTACGTTAAGTGGGGAAAAGAAGTGCAGAGCAGAACGTGGAGTATAGCTGCATCTCTGTGTGTGTGTGTGAGTGGGTGGGTATGCGTACACCCACCATACGTGTTTAAAGATGAAGAAGTCAGGGACTTCCTTGATGGTCCAGTGATTAAGACTCCGAGCTCCCAGTGCAGGAGGCCTGGGTTCAATCCCTAGTCAGGGAACTAGATCCTGCATGCCACAACTAAGACCCGGCACAGCCAAATAAATAAATACATATTTTTAAAAACTAAAATAAGAAAAATGAAGTCGGTAACAGTGGTGGATATTGGGGAGGGCAGCTGGGGGACTGAGGTCTCAAAACTTCGAAGCAGTTCACTTTCTGTGGTGTTCTAGCTGTAAGGTTCATATTATGATCACTGTCTTACCTGGTCCCTACCCTCATTTCCCTATGGGGAGACCCAGACCCAGATGGACCATGGGATTGATCAAGGTTCTCTGTAAGTGCTCATCAGAATTCTCCCTGGTACATCTTTTTTCAATGTTCTCATCAGTTTGTGACTATTTCTAATCTTTTCTTTAGTCAGTGTAATAAAGGAGTTTATGTAAGAGCAATTCATCATAAAGAAAGAAGGAAAGAATTCTCAGACTTCTGTAAGAACTACAGTTTTGCTAATGTTTTCTTAAATCTTTTTACTGTTTTTGATAACATCAATCATGACATGCGGCCAGTAAGATCTGTAGCAGGAAAGGAAAGACGTGCTTTGCTGAGGCTCTTGTTTCTCTAAGGACACACGTAGGATTTCCTATTCTGAATGTTTCTTCTAAGGAAGCCATCAGTTGCTAAATGCTTTTGTATAAGAATGTTTATGGGCGGGGTGGGGGGGGCTTCCCTGGTGGTGCAGTGGTTAAGAATCCGCCTGCCAATGCAGGGGACATGGGTTCAAGCCCTGGTCCGGGAAGATTCCCACATGCTGCGGAGTAACTAAGCCTGTGTGCAACAACTGCTGAGCCTGCGCTCTAGAGCCCGCGAGCCACAACTACTGAGCCCGTGTGCCACAACTACCAAAGCCCGTGTGCCTAGAGCCTGTGCTCCACGGCAAGAGAAGCCACCGCAATAAAAAGCCTACGCACCACAATGAAGAGTGGCCCCCACTCACCACAACTAAAGAAAGCCGGGACGCAGCAACGAATACCCAAAGCGGCCAAAAATAAAAATAAAATAAATTTTAAAAACTTACTAAAAAAAAATGTTTATCGGGCTTTCCTGGTGGCGCAGTAGTTAAGAATCTGCCTGCCAATGCAGGGACGTGGGTTCGAGCCCTGGTCAGGGAAGATCCCACATGCCACGGAGCAACTAAGCCCGTGCGCCACAACTACTGAGCCTGCGCTCTAGAGCCCACGGGCCACAACTACTGAAGCCCGTGCACCTAGAGCCCATGCTCTGCAACAAGAGAAGCCGCCACAATGAGAAGCCCGTGCAGTGCAACGAAGAGTAGCGCCTGCTTGACGCAACTAAAGGAAGCCCATGCACAGCAACGAAGACCCGATGCAGCCAAAAATAAATAAATAAATTTATTTTTTTAAGAAAAGATTTTTCAGGGAAAAGTTAAAAAAAAAAAAGAATGTTTATAAAAACCAAAGAGTCTTTGTATAAATTTTGGCAAAGCCGTAGGAAGCAGTATTATATAATCATTAAAATATTTAATATCCTGGGGAAGCGGTCACAACATGGTGAGTGTAAATGCAGGTTACTCATGCTGCTAGTAGGAGGGTGAGTGGTACAACCACTTTGGAGAGCACTCGATGGTATTTAGGTGCAATGTTCTGACCCTGTGGCTTAGTTTTCCCTTCTTAGGAGTACTGCAGAGAAACTCAGTGCTTGCTGGAGAAAACCTCCGTAAGAATGTGTACAGTAACAGTGTATTAACCACAAGTTGGAAACAACTAAATGTCCAACAACAGGAGAATGGATAAATGAACTGTGGTATATACTATTCAGTACTTAGATTTCACTAAGCTCTACTACAGGAAGTAGAGGTACATGTTTCAACCTGGATGAACCATGAATATAAATATTGAACAGAAAGCAAGTTGCAAAGGATTTGCACAGCATATAGAGTATGACACCATATGTAAGGTACATAGACTGTATATCTCTATGGTTTAAAAGACATGGAAATACTCTTCCAAAATGTCAGTGCTATGAAAACCCAAGAAAAGCAAGAAGGCTTCAAGATTAAAGGGGACTAGAGAGAGGTGACAACTAATGCAGGGTGATGTGCTGGATTGGATATGGGACTGAGGCAAGAAAGACTGGGTATCGTTAGGACAATTGGTGGAATGTGTCTACTGAGGGTCAGATAACGGTATTCTGTAATATTGAATTGCTTGGGCCGAGAACTGCACTCTGGCTGGTAATGAAATGTCCATGTTTTAGGGAATAGGGACGTCTACTACTTACCTGCAAATGGTTTAGGAAAAATGTGTGTGTGTGCGTGCGTGTGTAATGGAAAGAGCATGAATAAGAAAAGGGGCAAAATGGCAACAGTTGGTGAACCTGAGTAAAGACTGTGTGGGAGTTCTCTGTATGCTTTCAACTTTTCCATAAGTCTGAATGATATCACAATTTTAGTGAACAATAAGCCTAAGAAGATACCATATATTGTTTATGGACACATGGAATACATATTGCAACACGTAGAAACTATGTCCTCCACTTTCAGGGCCGTGCTCTCTGTGTGTGGGCCAGCTGTAGCAGAAATGTATAAAAAGTCCTGAAACTGTTAAGATTTGTTCATTTTGGCTTGTGAGTTCATGGGTGATCATTATAGTATTATCATACTTTCTATATGTTTGAAGTAGTCCATAAAAATAAATTTTCGGTATTTGTTTTCTTTATTTTCCTTTTTATTTTTTTGGTTGCGTCAGGTCTTAGCTGTGGCATGCGGGATCTTTTGTTGTGGCATGCGGGCTCCTCTCTAGTTGTGGCGTGTGGGTTTTCTCTCTCTAGTTGTGGCACGTGGGCTCTGTAGTTTGTGGCACGCAGGCTCTCTCGCTGAGGCGCGCGAGCTCAGTAGTTGTGGCTCGCGGGCTTAGTTGCCCCGCAGCACATGGGATCTTAGTTCTCCGACCAGGGAACGAACCTACATCCCCTGCACTGGAAGGCGGATTCTTTACCACTGGACCACCAGGGAAGTCCCCATGAAAATAAATGTTAAATGCAGGTTATAAAATTACGAATATATGATTAAGTTTTAGTACATCTAAGTGGTGAGGCCTTTAATTTTCTTTTCAAAGAAAAGAATGCCAATGTTAAGTGACCAAAGTGCAAAACTACAGAAATGATAGGATCTGAAATTTTGTATTTATATTTCATGTGTATGCATGCAAAGAAAATCATCTGGAAAGGAAAACATCAAAATATTTACACCTGGTAGAATATAGTGACTTTGTTTAATTTTTCATTAAACTGTCTTCCAAACTGTTGAACATGTATGAATTTTGTTACCAGAATAGGAAAAAAAAAAACAATTAAAAAAAAATAGCCTTTGGGAACTGTCTTAGAGTAGGCCAAGGGCAGCCAAGTGGCCTCCAGCAAGTGGCCTTCAGGCTCCACCCTGCCTGCCGTTAGCCCCGCCCTCACCCTCAGACACATACATTCCTGCTCCTGCCCTGCCCTCTTATCCTGCCCTGCCCTCGGCTCCACCCCCTGTCCTGGTTCCACCCTGCCATTGGCCTGGAGGGTGGGCCTGCTCTGTCCCGCCCCACCTCTGCCCCACCCATGCTCAGCAGCATGCCCAAGCCCCCTGGCCAAGCTGCCTGTCTCTTGCAGATCGGCTTCACCACCGACCCACGCATGGCCCGCTCCTCACCCTACCCCACCGATGTGGCCCGAGTCGTGAATGCCCCCATTTTCCACGTGAATGCGGATGACCCGGAGGCAGTCATGTACGTGTGCAAGGTGGCAGCCGAGTGGAGGAGCACCTTCCACAAGGACGTGGTGGTGGACCTGGTGAGTGACCTTAGCCCGTGTCCTGAAGAGAGGGGTCAGGGCTCCCTAGAGCCAGGGCACCTCACTGCCCCTCCTGAGGGCTCCTGCATCTTTGGCCTGGGTGACCTGACCTGGGGAAGAAGGTAGTTGGAATCCTGTCCCGAGATAGCCCCAGGTCACTCTCGTTTCATCTCATGTGACAGTCAAAGCAATTCTAGCGAGTGAAGGAGTGAGAGACAGGACCCTAATTCTAGAAGAGGTAAACTGAGGTGTCACATAGGAGAAATGGGGGCAGGTCCTCGTGGGTCCTGGGTCCCAGCCAACGTGGTCCGTGATGCTGGCATCTCCTGGCTGTGTTCAGGTGTGTTACCGACGCAATGGCCACAACGAGATGGACGAGCCCATGTTCACGCAGCCGCTCATGTACAAGCAGATCCGCAAGCAGAAGCCCGTGCTGCAGAAGTATGCCGAGGTGCTGGTGTCGCAGGGCGTGGTCAACCAGCCTGAGTATGAGGTGCGTCCCCGGCTCTGATCCCAGTGGGCCTTTCCAGAGCCAGGGAGGGACAGAGAAGGCCCACCACAGGGCAAATGCTCACTTTCGCAGAGTAATTAGGATCCAAGTGAGAACACGTGAAATATTTACAACTATAGCATTTCGGTGCATAACTTCTTGGAGAGTCCAGGCTACTGAGGAGTTGCGTGAGGGAGGTGGGACCTGAGAGCACTTCGGCACAAGGCAGTGGCCTCCTTGGCTTACAGAGTCCAGTGCACAGGGGTGAGAGGGCGAGAGGCTGATGAGGGATCCAGCTTGTAAAGGGCCTGCTGTGACCTGGTCAGTTCTGGCTGGTTATGAGTGCGAAGGCCCGTGCAGGGTGACAGAGAAGTGGAGCAGGGCTGCGTATTCAGGGGCTGTGCTCGGAGCCATGAGAACTCATCCAAAAGAATATGGTGAGAGGGTGGGCGGGGACAGGGCTCCAACTTAGAGCAGGATCTGCAGCCAGCAACTGTGGAGAAGCAGCTACGGGAATGAAAACAATAAAACGGAAGCTTCCCACAGACCTCAGGGGTGATGCGTGTTGGGAGGAGAAGGCCTGGAGGCCAGTGGAGTCTGAGCGACTCTGCACTCAGGAAGTGCAGGCGCGCACTGGCTGTGTGGCTGGCGTGCCCTGTGCAGAGCGGCCCTGACGGCTGTGTCGGGCCCGACCCTCCAGGAGGAGATCTCCAAGTATGACAAGATCTGTGAGGAGGCCTTCACCAGGTCCAAGGACGAGAAGATCTTGCACATCAAGCACTGGCTGGACTCCCCCTGGCCTGGTGAGTGAGGAACGCCACCAGTGAGCCCCCTCCCCGCTCCACAACACCCTGTGGGCCCTGGACTCGGCCCCCTGACTTCGGCTCTCGGTCCTGGCCACCGCTGCACAGCATCTCGCGTGTCCACGGCTCCTTGAGGAGTGGCACCTGTGCGTCAGCTTGCCCCTTCCCTGCTAGGCTTCTTCACCCTGGACGGGCAGCCCAGGAGCATGACCTGCCCCTCCACGGGCCTGACGGAGGATATTCTCACGCACATTGGGAACGTGGCCAGCTCCGTGCCTGTGGAGAACTTCACCATTCACGGAGGTAAGGGCACCACCAGGACCTTTGGAAGTGTTGGGCCGAGTCCAGCCAACTGTGTCCCAGCATGAGACCAGTCCTCGCCCACCTTAGGTCCCTGCTTCGTTCAAGGCCGGGGTGGCTGGATGAGGGAAGCCCTCGCCTCACCTCACCCCTGCCCCGGCGAGGTCCTCAGCCGGCGGAGCAGTGGAGGAAGGGATGGGATGTCACGGCCGCTCTGGCCTGGTCTCCACTCAGCTCCCTTCCCCACTCTCCCGGTGAGTCAGGACTCCCCAAAGCTGGGGCCGAAGGAAGCTCAGCTCTTGTCCCGAGAGGGTGTGCCGGGCGGCTGGTGAGCACCCTGTCTCTGCAGGGCTGAGCCGGATCCTGAAGACCCGTGGGGAGCTGGTGAAGAACAGGACGGTGGACTGGGCTCTGGCGGAGTACATGGCTTTCGGCTCCCTCCTGAAGGAGGGCATCCACATCCGGCTGAGCGGCCAGGACGTGGAGCGGGGCACTTTTAGGTAATGGTCCCGGTGCTCTTGTGGGCCCTTCAAAGCATGGGAGATGGAAAGGAAGGGCTCTGGAGTTCCTCTCCCAGAAGAAAATCCCTGCCAGGAGAAAATCATTAGATCCCATTGCTCAGACCCAGAAGCACCCTTTCCCTGCTCTGATTAGACGCTTCCGTTAAGAACGGGGCTTTGTGCTCCCCCGGTGGTGCACGGGGCTGGCTTCTGCCGCTAATCTGTGCTGTTCTCCCTCAGCCATCGCCACCACGTGCTGCACGACCAGAATGTGGACAAGAGAACCTGCATCCCCATGAACCACCTCTGGCCCAACCAGGCCCCCTACACCGTGTGCAACAGCTCGCTGTCCGAGTACGGGGTCCTGGGTGAGCACCCCAGCCTGCGAGGCCCTCCTCCCTGCCGCCTCCCCGCTGCTTCCCCTGCCACCCCTTCCCCCTCCTCCCCTCTGCCCCACTCTCCCCTCCTCCCTGCAGCCCCCTTCCCGCCCACCAGCTGACTCCTGTCCGGTCTTCTCCCTCCCTCCTGCCCTGCAGGCTTTGAGCTGGGTTTTGCCATGGCCAGTCCTAACGCCCTGGTCCTCTGGGAGGCCCAGTTTGGTGACTTCCACAACACGGCCCAGTGCATCATCGACCAGTTCATCTGCCCGGGACAAGCCAAGTGGGTGCGGCAGAACGGCATCGTGCTGCTGCTGCCCCACGGCATGGAGGGCATGGTGAGGCCCCCGCCCCTTCCCGGCAGACCTAGAACGTGGGAAGGGCCTGCCTAGGACCCTGACCCCGAAATTGGCACCGTACGGGCTCTGCTGGTGTTCCCCACCTCCCTTGGAAGGCAAGAGGCAGTTCCTGCTCCGTTACTGATGAGAAGTGGCAGTGCGGACGGGGACCTCCCAGGCTCCGGTGTTCCCTGTTCTCTTCCCTCCTCCTCCGCCAGGCCCTGTGGGGGGCTTGCTTAAGAACCGGGTTTGGAATCCAGGAGGAACCAGGAGTGCTGGGCCCTGTCCTGATGTGGAAACGCCCCCTCCACGCTCCATGTGCAGGAGGAGAAGGAATTAAACTGCCAACAGTAAAGAGACAGTTTGGTGTTTTTCAGACCAAAATGAGCAAGTTGGTTAAGGAAGAGATGTACTGAATGCAACGGTCAGCAAGGGGGAAGCTCCTGATCTGTAACTTGTGTGTCTGGTTCCAGGGTCCGGAGCATTCCTCCGCCAGGCCGGAGCGGTTCCTGCAGATGTGCAATGACGACCCAGACGTCCTGCCGGTGAGTGGCGCACCTGGGCGTCTGTGGGCAACTCTGAAGGCACGACTGCTCTGTGCCTCTCGGGAGACGCAGGTGGGCCCCGAGCCTGCTGGTCTCCACAAAGTGAGAGGCCTTCTTAGAGCACAGAAGACAGTGCCGGGCTGCCTCCTGTCGTCCCTGCTGCTGTAGAAAGCAGAGGCGCTGAAAGCTACAGCAGAAGCTTCTAGGAGTGATACTGCCTGTATTTTGATTCAGGCAAACAGTTTAGAGGAAAGAACTCTGGGGTGATTCTAGTGAAATTTTAAGAGCTAAAAGGAAATTTGGGGGGTTCTGTTTCTAAGGAACATCAGAATTGGTTTTAGGTAGAACCTGTGTCTGTCCCAGACCAGGCAGTAGTTTTCAGAGAAATAGGGATTACATGGGACTGAGAATCCCATTCAGAGCGTGGGGCTGGCTGGCTGAGCTCTCGTCAGTGCCCCCTGTGTGTGCATCTCTGGAGGAGCTGTGGCACCCTAAGGCTGCGGCCGTGAGGCCCTCTGCCTTGATGCCCCCTGCGACGGGGTGCTCAGTGCCGCCTGGCCTCTGGCCCTTTCCCTCCTTGCTCCAGGACCTTAAGGAAGCCAACTTCGACATAAATCAGCTGTACGATTGCAACTGGGTTGTCGTCAACTGCTCCACCCCTGGCAACTTCTTCCATGTGCTGCGTCGCCAGATTCTCCTGCCCTTCCGGAAGCCGGTCAGTTGGGGGTGTCCCAGCTCAGAGAGGCCTGGCCTGAGAACTCCAGGGCCCCAGCCCAATGGGAGGATGGACTTGTGGGCGGGTGGTCGTAGATGGTGCGTTGAGCTTGGAGGAGAGCTGAGCCCCCAGGAAGCAGTCTCCTTGGTGAGGTGTGGAAGGGTGAGTAGGAGTGTGAGTGGAGGGTCCAAGGGGAGAATGCCCCCTGCTGCTGCCGGCCACAGTGCAGGGCCAGGCAGGCCCATGGGACAGGACAGCCCTGGCCACAGGCAAGGACGTCAGGAAAGGCTCAGGGGTCTTCCCCAGGTATAGGGTAGGGGGCACCCAGGGCTCCGAGCAGGCTGGGACAGACCCTGGAGGAGTGGATGCCCAGTGTCTCAGGGCGGAGGAGAGGGGACAAGGGGAAACCGCATCGTTCTGTTTTCCTTCTCTTCACCTCTACCCTGCAGATCCCGCTGACCTGACCGTAGAGCTGGGAGGGCAGCATTAGATGCCTGTTCTGAAGGCGAGGCCTGGGCAGCCCCTTGCTGTCGGCCCTCCTTCTGGAATCCTTAGAACCTGAGCCTGTGCTTCTGTGTTTCAGTTAATCATCTTCACCCCCAAGTCCCTGCTGCGGCACCCTGAGGCCAGATCCAGCTTTGATGAGATGCTTCCAGGTAGGCTTGAGGGGGGTGGGCATTTGGAGTGGGTCTTCACTGCTACTCTGTGGGGGGCTTATCCTTGTCAGTCTCACTCTGGTCCTTGCCACATTTTTTGGTTGTTGGGTAAAGACCACTGAACACGACAGCCTGGATGTCAGAGCTCATGTGCAAATTGGTCAAACAGCATGTCTCGCGTCCCAGTGGGGTCTGTGACCCCTGCCTGGGTGCACCCCCGCAGGACTCTTTCAGAGGCAGTGAAGTGAGCCTGAGGTTAGAGTTCACGCTGCTGCCTGGGCACTGCTCCTGGGGGGCTGATGGCAGCTCACCGCCAGGGACAGAGGAGAAGCACCGGTGGGTAGGGGCTGCCACGTAACATGGCAGCTCAGTGGTGTGAGGTGAGGCCCACAGCACTGAGATTTCCCCCCAGACAGCAGACATCAGGTGGCTGACAGCACACAGTGGCCCCACACAACCCCGGGCTTACAGGGCCAGGGGAGCCCACTTGCTCCCAGCCATGGAGCCCCCTTTAATCTTCGGTCAAGGTAAACCCCTTCTTTGTTTTTTTTCCCTTTTTTTTTTTTTTATTATGGTGAAATATACATAATATAAAATTTACCATCTTAGCCATTTTTAAGTGTACAGTTCAGTGGCATTAATAAACACATTCACGTCATTGTGCAACCATCAACCCCGTCCATCTCCAGAACTTTTTTCATCTTCCCAAACTGAAACTCTGCACCCATTGAAGAACTCCCCCATCACCACTCCTTCCCCAGCCCCTGGCACCCACCGTTCTGCTTTCTGTCTCTGTGGGTTTGGCTGTTCTAGGAGCTGCATGTGAGGGGGCTCATACAGTATGTGTCTTTATGTGACGGGCTTATTTCACTCAGCACAGTATCCTCAAGGTTCATCCATGTTGTAGCAGGTGTCAGAATTTCCTTCGTTTCTAAGGCTGAATAATGTTCTGTTGTATTTTTATACCACTTTTTGCTTATCTATTCATCTGTCAGTGGACACTTGGGTTACCTCCACATTTTAGCCATTGGGGATAATGGCTAAAATTATTAGTACACCTATGAACATGGGTGTACAAATCTCTCTTCAGGACCCTGCTTTCAATTCCTTTGGGTATATACCAAGAAGCAGATTGCTGGGTCATATGGTAATTTTTCAGGCATACCATACCATTTTCCATACTGGTTCACAGCAATACAGGAGGATTCCAGTTTCTCTACATTCTTGCCAACACTACTGTTTTCTGTTTTTGTTTTCTTGGTTTTTGTTTTTGTTTCATAATAGCCACCCTAGTGACCATGAAGTAGTATCTCATCGCAGTTTTGACTTTTGTTAACCTAATGATCAGTGATGTTGAGCGTCTTTTCATGTGCTTATTGGCCATCTGTATGTTATCTTTGGAAAAATGTTTAATCAAGTCCTTGCCCATTTTTTAATTGGGTTGTTTGTTTTGTTGTTGGGTTGTAAGATTTCTCTCTGTTTACTGGATATTGATGCCTTATCAGATATGTGACTTGCAACTATTTTCTTCCATCTGTGTGTAGTCTTTTTTTTTCCAGGCCTGTTTGTGTGTTCATTTGTTTGTTTGTTTATTTGCTGCACCACACGGCATGTGGAATCCTGGTTCCCCAACCAGGGATCAAACCCGTGCCCCATGCATTGGGATTGTGGAGTCTTAACCACTGGACCACCAGGGAAGTCCCTGTGTGTTGTCTTTGGATGCACAAAATTTTTAAATTTTCATGAAGTCCACTTTTTCTCTTCTTTTTGTTGTTGTCTGTGCCTTTGGAGTCACATCTAAGAAATCACTGCCAAATTCAATGTCATGAAGCTTTTCTTTGTAAATAAATTTATTTATTTTTGGCTGCATTGGGTCTTCGTCGCTGCACGCAGGCTTTCTCTAGTTGCAGCGAGCGGGGGCTACTCTTCATTGTGGTGCGCCGGCTTCTCATTGTGGTGGCTTCTCTTGTTGTGGAGCACAGGCTCTAGGTACATGGGCTTCAGTAGTTGTGGCGCGTGGGCTTAATAGTTGTAGCGCACGAGCTCTAGAGCGCAGGCTCAGTAGTTGTGGCACATGGGCTTAGTTGGTCCGCTGCATGTGGGATCTTCCAGACCAGAGATCGAACCCCTGTCACCTGCATTGGCAGGCGGATTCTTAACCGCTGTGCCACCAGGGAAGTCCCAATGTCATGAAGCTTTTGCCTCATGTTTTCTAGTTCTGTAAAACATGCCGTTGGTAATTTGATAGGGATTGCATTGAATCTGTAGATTGCTTTGGGTAGTATGGACATTTTCACAATATTGATTCTTCCAATCCAAGAACATGGTATATATCTCTCCATCTTTTTGTGTCCTCTTTGATTTCTTTCATCAGTGTCTTATAGGTTTCTGAGTACAGGTCTTTTGCCTCCTTAGGTAGGTTTATTCCTAGGTATTTTATTATTTTTGTTGCAATGGTGAATGGGATTGTTTCCTTAATGTCTCTTTCTGATCTTTCATTGTTAGTGTATAGGAATGCAAGAGATTTCTGTGCATTAATTTTGTATCCTGCAACTTTACCAAATTCATTGATTAGCTCTAGTAGTTTTCTGGTGGCATCTTTAGGATTCTCTATGTATAGTATCATGTCATCTGCAAACAGTGACAGTTTTACTTCTTCTTTTCCAATTTGTATTCCTTTTATTTCTCTTTTTTCTCTGATTGCCGTGGCTAGGACTTCCAAAACCATGTTGAATAGTAGTGGCGAGAGTGGGCAACCTTGTCTTGTTCCTGATCTTAGAGGAAATGCTTTCAGTTTTTCACCATTGAGAATGATGTTAGCTGTGGGTTTGTCGTATATGGTCTTTATTATGTTGAGGTAGGTTCCCTCTATGCCCACTTTTGGAGAGTTTTTATCATAAGTGGGTGTTGAATTTTGTCAGAAGCTTTTTTCTGCATCTATTGAGATGATCATATGGTTTTTATTCTTCAATTTGTTAATATGGTGTATCACATTGATTGATTTGCGTATATTGAAGAATCCTTGCATCCCTGGGATAAATCCCACTTGATCATGGTATATGATCCTTTTAATGTGTTGGTGGATTCTGTTTGCTAGTATTTTGTTGAGGATTTTTGCATCTATATTCATCAGTGATATTGGTCTGAAATTTTCTTTTTTTGTAGTACATTTGTCTCATTTTGGTATCAGGGTGATGGTGGCCTCACAGAATGAGTTTGGGAGTGTTCCTTCCTCTGCAATTTTTTGGAAGAGTTTGAGAAGGATAGGTGTTAGCTCTACTCTAAGTGTTTGATAGAATTCACCTGTGAAGCCATCTGGTCCTGGACTTTTGTTTGTTGGAAGATTTTCAATCAAGGTTTCAATTTCATTACTTGTGATTGATCTGTTCATATTTTCTGTTTCTTCCTGGTTCAGTCTTGGAAGGTTATACCTTTCTAAGAGTTTGTCCATTTCTTCCTGGTTGTCCATTTTATTGGCATAGAGTTGCTTGTAGTAGTCTCTTAGGATGCTTTGTATTTTTGTGGTGTCCGTTGTAAATTCTCCTTTTTCATTTCTAATTTCATTGATTTGAGTCCTCCCCCTCTTTTTCTTGATGAGTCTGGCTAATGGTTTATCAATTTTGTTTATCTTCTCAGAGAACCAGTTTTTAGTTTTATTGATCATTGCTATTGTTTTCTTTGTTTCTATTTCATTTATTTCTGCTCTGATCTTTATGATTTCTTTTCTTCTACTAACTTTGGGTTTTGTTTGTTCTTCTTTCTCTAGTTCCTTTAGGTGTAAGGTTAGATTGTTTATTTGAGGTTTTTCTTGTTTCTTGAGGTAGGCTTGTATAGCTATAAACGTTCCTCTCAGAACTGCTTTTGCTGCATCCCATAGGTTTTGGATCGTCATGTTTTCATTGTAATTTGTCTCTAGGTATTTTTTGATTTCCTCTTTGATTTCTTCAGTGATCTCTTGGTTATTTAATAATGTATTGTTTAGCCTCCATGTGTTCGTGTTTTTACATTTTTTTCCCTGTAATTGATTTCTAACCTCATAGCATTGTGGCTGGAAAAGATGCTTGATATGATTTCAGTTTTCCTAAATTTACTGAGGCTTGATTTGTGACCCAAGATGTGATCTGTCCTGGAGAATGTTCCATGTGCACTTGAGAACAAAGTGTAATCTGCTGTTTTTGGATGGAATGTCCTATAAATATCAATTAAGTCTATCTGGTCTACTGTGTCATTTAAAGCTTGTGTTTCCTTATTAATTTTCTGTCTGGATGATCTTTCCATTGGCGTAACTGAGGTGTTAAAGTCCCCCACTATTATTGTGTTACAGTCTGTTTCCTCTTTTATAGCTGTTAGCAGTTGCCTTATGTATTGAGGTGCTCCTATGTTGGGTGCATATATATTTATAATTGTTGTATCTTCTTCTTGAACTGATCCCTTGATCATTATGTAGTGTCCTTCGTTGTCTCTTGTAACATTCTTTATTTTAAAGTCTATTTTATCTGATATGAGTATTACTACTCTGGCTTTCTTTGATTTACCTTTGCATGGAATATCTTTTTCCATCCCCTCACGTTCAGTCTGTATGTGTTCCTAGGTCTGAAGTGGGTCTCTTTTACATAGCATATGTCTAAAAGCCTGTGTCTTTTGGTTGGAGTATTTAATCCATTCATGTGTAAGGTAATTATCGATATGTATGTTCCTATTACCATTTTCTTGTTATGGGTTTATTTTTGTAGGTCCTTTTCTTCTCTTGTGTTTCCCACTCAGAGAAGTTCCTTTAGCATTTGTTGTAGAGCTGGTTTGTTGGTGCTGAATTCTCACAGCTTTTGCTTGTCTGTAAAGCTTTTGATTTCTCCATCGAATCTGAATGAGATCCTTGCCGGGTAGAGTAATCTTGGTTGTAAGTTCTTCCCCTTCATCGCTTTAAATATATCATGCCACTCCCTTCTGGCTTGTAGAGTTTCTGCTGAGAAATCAGCTGTTAAACTTATGGGAGTTCCCTTGTATGTTTTTTGTCGTTTTCCCTTGTTGCTTTCAATAATTTTTCTTTGTCTTTAATTTTTGATTACTATGTGTCTCGACGTGTTTGTCCTTGGGTTTATCCTGCCTGGGCCTCTCTGTGCTTCTTGGACTTGGGTGGCTATTTCTGTTCCCATGTTAGGGAAGTTTTCGACTATAATCTCTTCAAATATTTTCTCAGTACTTCCTCTCTCTCTTCTCCTTCTGAGGGCCCTGTAATGTGAATGTTGGTGGGTTTAATGTTGTCCCAGAGGTCTCTTAGGCTGTCTTCATTTCTTTTCATTCTTTTTTCTTTATTCTGTTCCACGGCAGTGAATTCCACCATTCTGTCTTCCAAGTCACTTATCCATTCTTCTGCCTCAGTCATTCTGCTATTGTTTCCTTCTAGTGTAGTTTTCATTTCAGTTATTGTATTGTTCATCTCTGTTTGTTTGTTCTTTAATTCTTCCAGGTCTTTGGTAAACATTTCTTGTATCTTCTCGATCTTTGCCTCCATTCTTTTTCCAAGGTCCTGGATCATCTTCACTATCATTACTCTGAATTCTTTTTCTGCACGGTTGCCTATCTCCAGTTCATTCATTTGTTTTTCTTGGGTTTTATCTTGTTTCTTCATCTGGTACATAGCCCTCTGCCTTTTCATTTTGCCTGTCTTTCTGTGAATGTGGTTTTCCTTCCACAGGCTGCAGGATTGTAGTTGTTCTTGCTTCTGCTGTCTGCCCTCTGCTGGATGAGGCTGCTTAAGAGGCTTGTGCAAGTCTCCTGATGGGAGGGACTGGTGGTGGGTAGAGCTGGGTGTTGCTCTGGTGGGAAGACTCAGTGAAACTTTAATCCGCTTCTCTGCTGATGGGTGGGGCTGGGTTCCCTCCCTGTTGGTTGTTTGGCCTGAGGTGACCCAGCACTGGAGCCTACTGGCCCTTTGGTGGGGCTAATGGCACCAAGGAGTACTTCCCAGAACTTCTTCTGCCAGTTTCTTTGTCCCCACGGTGAGCCACAGCCACACCCTGCCTCTGCAGGAGACCCTCCAACAGTAGCAGGTAGGTCTGGTTCAGTCTCCTGTGGGGTCACTGCTCCTTCCCCTGGGTCCCGATGCGCACACTACTTTGTGTGTGCCCTCCAAGAGTGGAGTCTCTGTTTCCCCCAGTCCTGTCGAAGTCCTGCAGTCAAATCCCACTAGCCTTCAAAGTCTGATTCTCTAGGAATTCCTCCTCCCGTTGCCGGACCCCCAGGTTGGGAAGCCTGATGTGGGTCTCAGAACCTTCACTCCAGTGGATGGACTTCTGTGGTATAATTGTTCTCCAGTTTGTGAGTCACCTACCCAGCGGTTGTGGGATTTGATTTTACTGTGATTGCGCCCCTCCTACCATCTCATTGCGGCTTCTCCTTTGTCTTTGGATGTGGGGTGTCTTTTTTGGTGAGTTCCAGTGTCTTCCTGTCGATGACTGTTCAGCAGTTAGTTGTGATTCTGGTGCGCTCACAAGAGGGAGTGAGCGCACGTCCTTCTACTCCGCCATCTTGAACCAACCTCCGCATGTTTTCTTCTAAGTTTTATAATTTCAGTCTTGTGTTTAGTCTTTAATCCATTTTGAGTTAGTGTGTCTGTATGGTGTAAGGGTACAGCTTCATTTGCATGTGGATATCCAGTTTTCCCAGCACCATTTGTTGAAGAGACTCTCCTTTCCCCATTGAATAGTCTTGGTTCCCTTGTCAAAATCATTTGACCATATACGTGAAGGTTCATTTCTGGTCTCTCTGTTGTCTTCCATTGGTCTATATATGTCTTTATGCCAGTACCACTTTGATCTTGTAGCTTTATAGTAAGTTTTGAAATCAGGAAGCATGAGTCCTCCAGCTTTGTTTTTCTTTTTTCAAGATAGTTTTGGCTATTCAGGGTCCTTTGGGAGTCTGAATTTTAAGGTGGACTTTTCTATTTCTGAAAAAATGTCATTGGGATTTTTTTTTTAAGATGTATTATTTATTTAGGCTGTGTTGGGTCTTTGTTGCTGCACACGGGCTTTCTCTAATTGCGGCGAGCGGGGGCTACTCTTCGTCATGCTGAGCGGGCTTCTTATTGCGGTGGCTTCTCTTGTTACGGAGCACGGGCTCTAAGAGCATGGGCTTCCGTAGTTGCAGCACGTGGGCTCAGTAGTTGTGGCTCTCGGGCTCTAGAGCGCAGGCTCAGTAGTTGTGGCTCACGGGCTTAGTTGCTCCACAGCATGTGGGATCTTCCCAGACCAGGGCTCGAACCCACGTCCCCTGCATTGGCAGGCGGATTCTTAACCACTGCACCACCAGGGAAGTCCCTGTCATTGGGATTTTGATAAGGATTGCGTTGAATCTGTAGATTGCTTTGATAATATTAACATCATGGCAATATTAAGTCTCCCAATCCATGAACATGGATGACTTTCCATTTATTGGTAACTTCTTTAATTTCTCTCAGTAATGTTCTATAGTTTTCAGTGTACAAGTCTTTCATTTTCTTGGTTAAGTTTATTCCTAAGTAATCTTATTTATTTGATGCTGTTTTGAATGGGATTTTTTTTTCTTAACTTTCAGATTGTTCATAGAAATACAACTGAATTCTGAGTGTTGATTTTCTATCCTGTAACTTTGCTGAATTCATTTATTAGTTCTAACAGGGTTTTTTTGTATGTGGAATCTTTAGGGTTTTCTACATGTAAAACAAACAGATAATTTTATTTGTTCCTTTCCAATTTAGATACTTCTTAGTTCTTTTTTTTTTTTTTTTTTCCCCTAATTGCTCTGGCTAGAAATTCCAGTGCTATGCTGAATAGAAGTGGTGAGAACGGACATCCTTGCCTTGTTTGTGTCTTAGGAAAATGCTTTGAGTCTTTCACCATTGAGTATGATGTTCACGGTGGGTCTCTCATATCTGGCCTTTCTCATGTGAAGGTAGTTTCCTTCTAATCCTAGCATTTGCGTGTGTACGTGAATGTGAGCATGTTGTGTGTTGCTTATGTGTCATTAAGGGAACCCCTCATTTTGAATGCAGCTTCCTGAAGTTGGCCTTGTTCGCAGGGGAATGGTCCCGGCCGTGAGCATCTGAGTATTTGCTCTAGTTTCCAGTGTGGCAAGTTTTAGTATTTGTAAACTCATGAGGAGTCTGAGCAGAGTGGTCATGGGATGGTCTTCTAGACCTAGTTGTCCCTGAAGTCTGAGATAGGTCGTTCTGAAGAATGAACTGATGTCCCTTGCTCCTCAAGGCTGGCCTTGCCCCCTGTGCCTGTTAGGCTCTCTCAGTGTGGATTAATGCAAGGGCGTCACAGGCTGGCGAGCGGGGGAGAGCCCAACCCTCAGAAACTAAATGTTCTGGTGTCAGTTGTGGCACAGCCCCACCTCGTGGAGGGAGGGCCCTGGACACCCTCAGCCAAGTCCTGAGCAGACCCCCAGCTGTGGGGATTCTCTTGTAGGTACCCACTTCCAGCGGGTGATCCCAGAAGATGGCCCTGCAGCCCAAAACCCAGAAAACGTCAAGAGACTTCTCTTCTGTACCGGCAAAGTGTACTATGATCTTACCCGAGAGCGCAAAGCACGGGATATGGCAGAGCAAGTGGCCATCACGAGGATCGAGCAGGTGAGGGCAGGTGGTGCCCAGTCCTGGCGTTCCTCCTCTGGGTGTCTGGACCCCAGAGCTCTCCCAGAGTTTCCAGAACATCCTTTAGGGGTCACTGAGCTCCTCACCTGGGACGCCAGCTCCTCTAGGACACCAGCCTCGCCTGGTACTCTGAGCACCTTCTCCTGACAGGAGCTCCTCTCTCTCTCCCCAGCTGTCGCCCTTCCCCTTCGACCTCCTCCTGCAGGAGGTGCAGAAGTACCCCAGCGCCGAGCTGGCCTGGTGCCAGGAGGAGCACAAGAACCAAGGCTACTACGACTACGTGAAGCCCAGGCTGCGGACCACCATCAACCGCGCCAAGCCTGTGTGGTAAGGTCGCGGGCAGTCGGCTGGGGCCCGGGGAGGGCAAGGGGGCCCGCGCCCCTCGGGGGCCTTCGCCATCACCGCGCACTGTCGCTCCCCTCAGGTACGCCGGCCGGGACCCAGCAGCGGCTCCAGCCACCGGCAACAAGAAGACCCACCTCACGGAGCTGCAGCGCCTCCTGGACACGGCCTTCGACCTGGACGCCTTCAAGAAGTTCTCGTAGATGCTGCCTGGGCTCCGCCTCACGACCGCCCCTTGCTTCTCCACTACAGAATAGTGCTCCGCGCTGCCCGCGCCTCTGCCCGTCCCTGTACCACACACGCCCCCTCCTCGCTCACTTAGGAATTAAGCTGCTCCCCCACGTGCTCGGCTGCCCCCAGGCCAGGTGCTCCCCAGGCTCTGTGACTTCTGTCCAGCTGAGCAGCCTTCATGGAGGCAGTGGAGAGCGGGGGGGTGGAGAGGCAGCCCCTGCAGGAGTCCTGGGAGGGTCACATCTGCCCTCACCCCCGGATCACCCCCAGGGCCCGCCTCATGTGGCACACCCTTGTGCTGGCGGTCCCTGTCACCCAGCAGGGTGGCTTCCTCTCCTCAGGCTGAGCCCCAGACCCCTCGGAGGAGCCACCACGGTCAGAGGCTTTGTGGGGTGGGAGGGCTCTGTCAGGACCCTCGCCGTGCAGTGAGCAGAGGGCACTGCCGCGGGCTGGCTGGTGGGAGACGGCCCGAGACTGACCTGCACAGAAAGGGCGGGTCCGCTCTCCTCAGCGTCCACTTCCTCCCCTCGAGAGGGTCCCGGGCCGTGCACAGGGGCCGTGCACACTCCACCCGCCTGGAGCTGGGTGGCACCCGGGCCCGTGGGGTGTGCGTGGCGGGAAGCGCCACTCGGGGCTCTCGGGCCGAGGCGCAGGCTGCTCATCTGGGTCCTGCCCTCCCTTAACCTCCAGTTCCACCTCCTTTCCTCTTTCCTTCTACATGATGGAGACTCCGAAGCATCCTTCTCTCTGCTGTGCCAAAGCTGGTCCGAAGGGGAGAGGAGGGCCAGGAGTGAGGGGCAGCACTAGGCCAGGGGCCAGCTCCCCTGACCTGTCACAGGGACAGATCTGATTTATTTATTTTGGTTAAAAAAAAAAATAACGAAAACAACTTTGCATTGCATTTGGCTTGACCCATAAACTAAGTTATCCTTGGGCCCGTGTGGTGTCATTCTTTCTGCTCCGCCCTAGGCGTCTCCGCCCTGCCTGGTAAGCAGCCCCTTCTCGCTGCAGGGCCTGCGTGCCCGTGGGGCAGCACAGGGGTGGCGCCTGGCCTCGCCGTCATCATTGTTGCAGACTGTGTTGGACACACCATGGTTTCTGAGTGTCCCCTGCTCCCAGCTCCCCCAACACTCCACCTAAAAAAGTACTCTGCAGTCTGTGCTTCAGCCAGCGTGTGTGGTGGGCTCGCCCTGGGACGTTGCTAGCAGCCTCCAGGAGCCCAAGCAGCTCATTGGACCTCTGGAGGGGAGCGGGCCGTGCCAGCGGAGCCCTTTTGAGGCCGTGTCCCCTCTTGACAAGAGCCCCACTGCCTTCAGCCGGCCAGCCTTGGTTTTCTGGGGGGTGGAGAGGTCCCGGCACTGAAAAAGAGCTCAGGGAAAGGCCTGGGTGTGGACATGGGGGTACCCTCCAGCAGTGGGGCCCCCTGCCGTTCACCCCATCCTTTGGGCCACACTCAGGTCCCTTATCCTTGAAGCCTTTTCAGAATGTCTTCATTTTGTCCTGTGGCTTGCCCAAGAGTCTTCCGGGCCTGGCATGCCTTGGGCAGGTAGTGGCAGGGGAAAAGCTGTCACCTGCCCCTGTGCTTCTGTGTGTGCTCCAAAACCAGCACCCTGTCCCCATGTCTGATGCGGTCAGCCAGGCAGATTAGAGCTAAAAGGCAAAAAAGGAGTCAGGAGCCCCTTTCCCTGGAGAGAATCCTGGTGCTCTAAGGGGGCAGCCGTCCCCATCCTGCACTCTGTGTGGTGAGTTAGGGTTCCGCTCTTACCCCGAGGCAGAGCACATCGGGGTGAGACACGAGATGGAAGTTCGCCCTCACCTCTTGCTGCTTCTAATCTGGTCGGTGGGTACAGGGGAGCCAAGAGCCTAAGGGGGTCTGGGCACTTCCTGGTGGGGTACCTGAGGGAGTGCAGGGCTCACAGGAGCCACCACCACTGGCCCATCTGCGGGAGCCGAGGCAAGGGACAGGGCGAGGGACTTGGGTCTCTCCCACTCCCACAGCTCTGCGTGGGTCTGCAGATGAGGGGCAATCAGGCCACGCTGGGCCACCCACCAGACAAACGCTTCTCTGGTCAGCTCTGTTCTGCTATGGTTCTCAGTCGCCCCTTTCCTAAAACAAAAAGAGCAATGGTGAGAAGGAAGAAGCCTCACAGTCTAGGACAGCAGCCTATATGCTTAGACTTCCAGAGGCGCCGGACCAGTGTGTGAGAGCGTGCATGTGTGGGCATGTCAGTGTGTGCACGTGCGTGTGTGTGTGTGTGCGTGCACGAGAGTGCCTGGGCCACTTGACGTGGATTCCTGGCCTTTCTGGATATTAAAGGCCCATCTGGGCTTCCCTGGTGGCGCAGTGGTTGAGAGTCCGCCTGCCGATGCAGGGGACACGGGTTCGTGCCCCGGTCCGGGAGGATCCCACATGCCACGGAGCGGCTGGGCCCGTGAGCCATGGCCGCTGAGCCTGCGCGTGCGGAGCCTGTGCTCCGCAAGGGGAGAGGCCACATCAGAGGCCCTCGTACCGCAAAAAAAAAAAAAAAAAGGCCCATCTGACAGCCGCACCTGTGAAAGTGTAGGAAGAGGGTCAGCCTGCCACGTCCCTGTTCCCGGGAGCGGCCCCCAGGACAGGTGGGCCTGGGGGGTGCTGGGGGGAGAGGAGGGGCTCGGGGTGAGGCACAGGTGGGTATGAGGCCTTACCCATAGTTCATCCTTGATGTGTCAAGTGTCCACCCACTGGGGTGATTTTATCTCCATTGGAAGTGGAGTTGTAATCAGTGTCAAACCTATTTCTGCCCTCAATTAGGTGGGGCAGTGAGCTGCCCAGTAGGGTAGTATTCACCTGGGACCGGACTACAAAGCTAACCACACCTTTCAGATTTCCCCCAGCTCTTGTCCCCTGGGAGTCCCAGCTGCCACACCCAGCTCATGGCATCCTGAAAGGAATGGGGTCCAGGTCCCTTCCAGCAGGGCTGCTCTGCCCCTCCCCGCGCGGCCTCACCCCCAGGACTTAACCCTTGCACTGTAGTCTACCCTCCCCCACGCCCTCGCCTCCCCCAGGGCCTCACTCCCGCCAGGGCAGACCCCTTCCCCGCAGCCCCATCACCTCCCCCCAGGACCTCAACTCCCTCTCGACCCTTTTTTTAATTGATATATTTGACATATAACTTATTAGTTTCAAGTGTACAACATAACGATTGGAAACCAACAGGGACCTACTGTAGAGCACAGGGAACTCTGCTCAACATTCTGTGATAACCTATATGAGAAAAGAATCTGAAAAAGAATGAGTATATGTATGTGTATACCTGAATCTCTTTGCTGTACACCTGAAATAACACAGCATTGTACATCAACTATACTCCAATAAAATTGACGGCATGATGATTCGATACTTGTATATATTGTGAAACGGTCACTACAATAAGTCTAGTTCACGTATGTCAAACGTTTCCATTTTTTTTTCTTGTGATGAGAACATTTAAGAGTTTGCCCTTAAACAGTTCTCAGTAATAATGATCTTAAGGGGAAAAAAGATCAAACTGTTATCAGGCAAGAGAAGTAACAATAGCAAAGATAACAAATCACCTGTTATCCAGACTCCCAGTTCTGCTTCTTTGGTAAAGACTGGCCTGAAGCACTTTCTTGAGGCATTTTGCAGAATTTAAGCCCCCCTCAGGCGCTCAACCACTAGATCAACAGGAACCTAAGGTTAATGATGATGTTGATGTCTTCTGACCCTCGTGACTTCAATCAAGTAAAGCTTGGACTCTCTCCAATACCCAAGCCGCTACATGAACATGCATGTACTCTTAGCTTAAAACTTCCCCAGGTTTGCTCTTCGGGGAGAAACTGTGTACGGTCAGGCCACTCAAGGTGGCTGTTCTCTTGCTCTCTGTCCATCCCCTGCTCGACCAGTGCCTGCTTCACCTACACGCTCCTCACAGAACTGACCTTCCTACTTGCTCCAAACCCCAGCTAATGATTGTTCTTATCAAAGGGGCGGTGAGGGGCGTGCCCCTCTGCTGGTTTCCCTGGTAACCGATGAGCCAATCTGACTCATCAATTCCCCCTATAACTGGCAACCTCCCCCGCCCCCCCCCCACCTCCAGAGCGTCGACTTCCGCCAAGTCCAGCACGCCCAGGGGGGAGTCGCTCCAGGACCTTGCTCTACAACTGTAAGCTCCCCCATCCATTAAACCATTGATGTCTCTGTGGCTGACTCTGGGCTCTTTCTCAGGTCTGGAAGCTGAACAGGTACAGGCCTCGTAGCCTGTACAGGTACAGGGATGTAGCCCCACATATATATTCCTTGAGGAGGAACTAGGGCTCTGTTTTTTATCACTGAACTATTGTTTCTTTTTTTTTTTTTTTTTTTTTTTTTT